CTCCATAATATTTCACCTGATGAAGTTAGAGATAAATTACCAGAAGATGTGGTTGGACGACGCAGGAGCGTGAGGTTTGAGAAGAACAAGAAAATCCTGAGTTATAATTAGTCAGTTAATTAACACTTTTTATATAAATATATAAATCATGTTTGGTCGACCTCCTAAATGCTATCACATCCCCCTCATCTCTTCCCTCCACCTCAGATGCCACTTTGTCAGCACCAAGTTAAGAGAAACTAAATTGTGCGCTATCATTTTGGCACTTCCAGCGGGGCTTAATCCTCTGCCGCCTTGTTTTTGCCGGGCTGCCACCATCTTTTAGCGGCTCCGGCAGCGGCTCCGGCAGCGGCTCCGGCAGAGGCAGCAGAAAAAGAAAAAGAAGATGGTGTTGACGGTTTGCGCCTGAATTTACCTGTTTAATCCCAACAGGGTCGACAGCCGTCGGCAGCCTAATATCTGGTCCAGTAAGTGTGTGTGTGTGTGTGTGTGTGTGTGTGTGTGTGTGTGAGTGGGAGGAGTCAGGTCAGTAAGTTGGTGGGAAACAGCAACGTGTGTAAAAACCGACCGACAGCCATTAACACATAATGGAGCAGATTACATCGTAATGATAGTCTACTTAAACCTGGCGCTCTCAAACACTGCTGTAGTGGTTCACTGATGCCACGACTCGACAACAAGACGTTTAGTAATGGCGTCATTAAAAAAAAAAGTCCCTCCTGGTGGGGACGCGCACAGGAAGCGGTGCTTTCACGTCGACTCGTTTGTTTCGGGGGAGACGGCGTCTCTTCTTCGTTTGTCGACATTTTCATTATCTTTCAAAAATCAAATCGAGGGTTTGCGTCCCCGCGGCGGCGCCCTACCTCTTGGCGCTGGTGGAGAGCTTGGCGGCGGTCTTGCTGGAGATCTTGGCCTCCTTCTTCTTGGGCTGGGTCTGGTCCCGCTGCTCGGGGCCCGGCTGCTCCGGCGGGGCCGCCTCCCTCTGCTCGGCGTCCGAGCTTCCCCCGCTGGTGTTGGGGCTGTCGTCCGGCCTCGGCTGCACCTCGCTGGACATGCTGACGCTGGGCGCACACACACACACACACACACACACACACATGCAGATGTTACGGATGCCTCGTCTCACTAACAAACCGCAAATCTAAAGCATTTCTGTAAAGCAATACAACAATAACACATTATAAAGCATCTTGTATCGGCTTATAAAATATCACTCTGCTTTGTAATTCACTTATTGAATTTTCTTTTTGCAGTGCGTTTTAATGACCATGGTTGTTATACCTGTTATGCATCGTAATCACTGTCATAAGGTATTATAATCATACGTGTGCTTAAAATGCAAAGTGTTCAACTTTCAATTTCCAATTTTCTCAACATTAATTTGAGCCACGGTGTGATGCTCAGGGTTTATCCCGTCATCGGTGTCGTTGGTCTGGTTTCGCTGACATGTAACTGACTGTCAGGAGTTATAAAAGCACTCCAGTCAGACTTGCACGTATCGGGCCCACGTCTGCTACTAATTGCATCCTTTGTAGATCGTGTTGAGTGTATTTATGAATGAGAAGTCCTTCATTTAACTTAGAACAGTCTTCAGTTGACTTCAGAAAGCAAACCGCTCTCCCCCTTAAGAAAATCAAATGTCGTGTTAAATGCAAAAGCTCTTTGTTAATGACAAGACTGTTTGGTGAGTTTAAGCCTGGTGGCTAATAAAGAAGAACATCTGGCTCTGGGGAGACAAATGGGAGAGTGAATGCGTTCATATACGAGTTAAATATCTTAAAGCTCAAATAAAATCTTTCAAATGCTATATGCAAGAAAAGGAGGCTCTCTTCACTGCTCTCACTGTGGAGAAGGCTGAAAAAAACTGCATTCTTTTACTCAAATGAATTCACCTATTTTCTGGGGTCATTTAATTGCATCATTCACTCCGTATTTTCTTCTAATCCTCACTATTTTTGCACAACAAAGGGTGAATTACTCCTCGACCGCGGCGCTTCCCTCCTCCACGAGGTCCGTCTCACATCCCCCTCCAGAGGTGCACTTGTAGCCGCGGAGGGCGAAGAAGTGAATACAGACCCCAGATCTGTTACCACTCATCCAGAGTCAGTCGAGCTGAACATCCGCCGGTCACAAGCCAAGAGTCTCAATGAAAATGAATAAAAAAAGGACTCCTACAAGGTCGCTAAATCCAATTCCTCCATCGCTTTGCGAGCTAGTGTGTGTGTGTGTGTGTGAGCGTCAAGGTGAATGCCTCTATTTACATTCCCAGGTCTGCAATGAAAAATGTATGACACGAGATGAACGGCTGTTAGGGAGGTGGGGGGGGGGGGACACACCATAAAGGACAGATTGTTCAATAAACATGACGATCTGGTGCAGTTAACGGCGAGAGGTAATTGGGGGATTACGAGGGTTTGCGGCGATACGGAGGGGAGATCCTTTTTATAAGGTTAAATCGCGTTCATGCTTAGGTGAATTGAATCCTCTTAAGGAATACGACTGCTATCGTAACGCAACCCTCGCGTTGTTCAGGGCCAGGAATAACACTGCGAATAGAAAAATTTTGCAGAGAGATCGCTACAACTCTGTCGGGCGGATGGTGTCTTCTTTTGTTTTTTGTGGGTATTTAGGTGTGTGTGTGTGAGAACAGCGGTGAATGCCTCTTTTAAACATTCCGAAGGTCTGCCATGAAAAATGTGTATGACTACGAGTATGAACGGCTGTTATAGGGGAGATCACAAGGTGGGGGGGGGGGGACACACCCGGTTCCTTCAAGCAACCGATCGTTCAAGAAACCAATGATCTGATCTGGTGACCTGTTAACCGGCGAGAGGCAATTGATCCGCATCACGTATGGGTTTAGCTGGCGATTACTTGAGGGGAAACTATCGTTTTGAAAAGGTTAAAACGCGTTCATGCTCAGGTGAATTGAATCCTCTCAGGGAAAACGACTGCTATCGTAACGCAGCAGCGGCGTTGTCAGGCGAGGACAAACACGGCGAAGAGGAAAAGTTTGCAGACGGAGCGGCAGATCCGTCGGGCGGATGTGTTTTTTTTTGTTTTTTGTTGTATTTAGGTGTGAAACTGTCAAAACAGCTCAGCAGTAACTATCAAACAAGGGGAAGCTTCCCAGGTTGTTTGTGTGTGTGTGTGTGTGTGTGTGTTTGTTATTGAGGAGATCACACCCCGGAGGGGGGGGGACAGTCCCGGTTCCTTCAGGCAACCTTCACGCAGGAGACCAACGTTCTGACCTGTTGACCTGTCAGCCAACGGCAGTCAAATAGATCCTCATCATGTATTAATTTAGCTTTTGATTATTTTTCATTAAACTATGCCTCAGCACTCTTTAAAATAAAAACAACTATTAGAAAAATTTAAATAAATGACATTTCAACTTCGCCATTCGGTGACCCCGCGTGAAGCCAACAGAGGCCCGGTTGGAGGGGATTTGGGAACTGGCTTTGGGAGAAGTTTAATCCGGATCGGGGGGGGGGTGTTTGGTGCAATGGGTGCGCGCCGGATGAAACGGTGGCTCTTAACGGATCCGAACAGCGTCTTTACCGGGATCCGTGTCGAGTCGGTTACCGGGGAGCAGAGCTCTTAAAGGATTGATGTTTAGCACGGGCCGTTCCCTCTATTCTGCCCCACGCAAAGGCGGCACGTATCGGGCTAATGTTTAAGGACCCCCCCCCCCTCTCCCCAAATCCCCCCCCCACCCACCCCCACCTTACTGGTGAGGAGTTAACAGCGAGAAAAAGCCTCGTTTACGTGACGCCTTGATGAAGGCAGAAGCAGAAGAAGACTCCATCCGATCAAAACCTCCCCAACATCCGGGCTCGAACTGACCGCTTTGCCGAATCGGTTCCTGCACAATAGACCGAATGGATGCCCCCCCCCCCCCCCCCTTTTCTCCCCCCTCCCTCCCTCCCTCCCCGACGACCACCGCCGCCCCCTCCCTCCACGAGATAACGTAAATAAATAAAAAAAGAGCCCCCCTCTGGTTCGGTCGGTGGCAGCGCGGCGTTCCGCCGGGGAGGAGGCTCACCTTTACGGGCAGGCTGGCCGCGGGTTGAGAGCTAATGTCCGCCGTGTGTCGCGTGGTCCGTGCCGCTGCTCGTCCGCTCGCTTTCCGCCCGACGCGCTGACTGACTGCGAGAGAATGTGCCGAGAGAAGAAAAAAAAGAAAAAAAGAGAAAGAAAACGCCACGGTCAAGTTATCTTTAGCTTCGCGCGCGTCGTTTCCGGTTGGGAGCTGGCAAAGTAAAAGCCTAAATGAGGCACTTTCGGTTGTTGTTGTTTTTCAAGCGGAATAAATATTTTTTCTTCTTCAAATTTAAGCGGTTCATCCTCTCTTGTAGACACTCTTTAGACACTTTTTGGGGGGGAATATGTGCACAGCTATTCAGACAAACCCTGGACCGCTTTTTACGCTTATTACACATGTTATAAAGCTTGAATTAGGGAATACCAGTTCCCTATTTTTAAAAATGTATGTATAATCTACTAAAGTTATGCATTTATTTTATTATATCTTTAATAATATGCTGTAGTGGAGTCACGTCAAGTAATTTCCCACCAACTATAACATGATTGTTACGGTAAATAATAGTTTGTAAACAAACTGGAGCAACGCCCGTGCATTATTATTTTTAGTATAACAAATTCCCACCACTCTATTTATATAAATCTTATTTTAGACCTGCGGTGCTCACAAAATACATATAAAAAACATCAAAGATTGCACTATCCAACTAATGCCACATTTCTTTTAATTGTTTTGCTACACAATAAAATACATATTATCCATTACACAGCAGCCTCCTGACCCTTTTCACCAAACGCCTCAGAATTATTTATATCCATGCAGAGAATCAGTTCCGATTTTCTGCTTTTGTTTACCGCAGCTTGACAAATCAGACCACCTCCGTGCGCGCTCCCACGCGAGTCCGCGCAAACTGTGTGCTCTGTGGAGCGTTATGGAAGGCTTTGATGGTAGTAGACTACAAAGGAAGCGCCAAAGAGAGGAATAGATCCGTCTTTATTGAAAGGTGGGCACCGGGATTGTAAACCAATTCCCGACATGATGGAAGCACAGATAGGTAATCATTTACAGTTCATACAGTAGACTGTGTATAGAAAGGTCCCTACTCACATGCAGATGTTTTTGGTGTCTGTGTTTGATTACCTGTCGGGAAGAACTGGCCCATTATTGAATTAATCAGAAACAAATTGGAAAGAAAAGCTTTAAAACAACACAGGTCGAGCACTAAATATTTTATGGCACCATAGGTAATTAACTACGGGACCAGTGTTTCCTCCACATTTTTTAAATTCATTGACTATCTGTACCATATTTATTTTGAAAATTAATTGATTAACATTTTTAGAAATACTTGCGCTATTGTTCGTGGACAGAGTCACGGAACCTTTTAAGAGGTCAATGTTTCTTCACGTCGGCTAAAGCGACGGACCGAGTGAGCTTCCCGACATGCGCCATTGAAAACAAACGTAGCAAAATCGGCGGGGGCTCATACATTTTAATGCCAACGCGCCAGAGGGATTATTTCGTCTTTAACAAAGTTACGACACATTAATAAACGATGGAGACAATTTTAGAGCAACAGCGTCGGTATCACGAAGAGAAGGAGCGGCTGATGGACGCCAAAACCAAAGAAATGTTGCATAAGAAGTCCACGGTAGGAGCCCTGCTAGCATTAGCATTGTTGCTAATCAGCACTGCAAACATTGGAAAATAACACGGAACGTTAAGTTGCATTTTAAAGTGGATCTTTGCTTCTTTTTCTCACAGCTCCGGGAACAGATTAACTCTGACCATCGAACTAGAGCAATGTTGGATGTAAGTGCAACGGATTTATGTTTTAAATTCTCGACGTTAGCACCGGCCGGCTAACCTTTCCTAAAAGTTAACGTTGATTAATATGCATATTTAAAGGTACATTAGCTGATTTATATCATCTATAAGGCAACCGTAACATCTAGAAACGTGAACTTTTACACCTCCCAGTTTGTGCTCTGCATCAAAAACACCACCTTGATAGTTAAAAACGGCTCACATGTCACACTTTGATGCTATATCAAATATCATAATTGTTACATGTCATCGGGCAGTTGTTACAAAGCTTTCTGGTGAGATATTCTGCCCATGTAGCAGAGAGGGATGCGGGTCCAGCACTTTAGATACTAAACATGAAACATGTCTCTTGGCAGAGGTATATGGAAGTGAGCGGAAATCTCAGAGACTCGTATGAAGACAAAGATGGGTGAGTGCCTGGACTCTAATCCAGATGTTTTAAACTGGTGCTTCTCCAAAATACAGATGATGTTGTTGCAATATCATGTTACTATGTGTTTAACCACAATGCCTGTTCTCTTAAAATGTTTCTATTGGATGGATTTTTGATTTCACACATGGTTGAATGAGCTGCACGCTCAAACAATGTTGTTCTTTTTCCTCAATGACAGAATGAGAAAAGATGAACTTGGTGCAATCTCCGGACCAAATGAGTTTGCAGAGTTCTACAACAGACTGAAACACATAAAGGAGTTTCACCGAAAGCACCCGAATGAGGTAGTTAACCCCCTTACTTTTATACATGACGTGACGCTACATAAACCCTTTGACAAAGTGTTTCAGGAATAATGCTTTCATTCCTCTTGTAGATTTCCATTCCCATGTCTGTGGAGTTTGAGGAGCTTATGAAGGCCAGAGACAACCCGAGCGAGGAGGCTCAGAGTAAGTGTAACTCATTGGCATTTCCTTACGGACGTTTGCTCTGTTGACGGTCAGCTGGCCATCTCGGGGTCGGTGGGGGGGTTGGAGGTCTACCTTGTTAAAAGTGAACCGGTTAGAAACTAATGTTACCGCTCTGATTGTGTTTTGTCTTCCACAGACCTGGTAGAGTTCTCCGACGAGGAAGGATACGGCCGCTACCTCGACCTCCACGACTGCTACCTGAAGTACATCAACCTGAAGGGCGCCGAGGTTAAGATCCCTTCGTGTTTGCGTACTTAATGAGTTTCTCGAAAATGAGAATATTTTCTTCTTAACCTGATTTCTATGCTCTTCCCCGACAGAAACTCGAGTACATCTCTTACCTGTCTTCATTCGACCAGCTTTTTGACATCCCCAAAGACAGGAAGAATGCTGAATACAAAAAGTAGGTCCACCATATTTATTCCCTTCAGAACCGACAGGGGATGGGTGCATGGAGCTTGAAGTAGAAAATACATCCAGCCGTAAAGACCAAAGAATGGCCCCATCTTGTCTTGATGACGTATTACGGACCGTTTAAATATATTTTAAGGGCCGTACACGAGGGTGTGGACTTGTGAATTACATTACATGTGCATGCACTGATCTCTTGTGCTAACCCAGTGTGGTGCTGGTGAATGTGTGTGCAGGTATTTGGAGATGCTGCTGGAGTATCTGCAGGACTACACCGACCGGGTCAAACCTCTGCTGGACCAGAACGAGCTCTACGGCAAAGTGCTGTTGGACTTTGAAAAGAAATGGGACAATGGGACGTTTCCAGGCTGGCCTGTAAGTGCTCCGATTTGTATGTGAAGATGGGGGGAGTTTAGTGCGGTCGTCCCATCTGACCGGTATGTTTGTCATTTTTAATTGTAGAAAGAGACGAGCAGCGCGTTGACACATGCCGGAGCTCATCTTGACCTCTCTGCTTTCTCTTCTTGGGAGGTAAAACATTAAGTGCTTGTATTTAAAGATGTAAAATGACAATTACAATTATTCATTCAGACTTTGACTGACGCGTTCTTCTTATTCGATACCACAGGAGTTGGCCTCTTTGGGTCTGGACAGGTTAAAGTCAGCCCTCATGGCGTTGGGACTGAAGTGTGGAGGGTGAGAATGTTGTTTGCATACTGGAACGAGTAACATTTAACTGAATGCAAAGCGAAAGTGGAAAAGGGCATTTTTGCTGTCAGAAGAAGTTCCATCCCGTTGTCTGACATTTGATATTTATAATGTCCCTGGACATGGGATGGGTGGAAGTGCAATTTCATAAGTAGTAACAGAGCTATTGGTGCACATTCCGCATGCTGATGGGACAACTGATGGAGTGTGTGTGTGTGTGTGTGTGTGTTGGACAGGACTCTGGAGGAGAGAGCACAGAGGCTCTTCAGCACAAAAGGCAAATCCCTGGAATTGCTGGACCCGTCCCTGTTTGCCAAGAACCCCAAAGCCAAAGGCCCCAAAAAGTAAGCGTGTGTTAAAAGTGAAATCTAGTGGTGACGGTGTGCTGTGAGCGCACTCGTGATATAATTTATAACCCTTTCCATCCGTCACTTCTGCAGAGACACCGAGCGTAACAAGGAAATCGCCTTCTTTGAAGCTCAAGTCTATGAGTACGTGGAGATCCTCGGGGTGAGTGCATCTAGCTGCTGTTAAACTTATGGCGGGGGGGGTGGTGATCGTAGGATCATCGTAGGCTCAAACGTGACCGTTGTGATGCTCGCTGGCGGTTGCAGGAGCAGAGACAGCTGACCCACGAGAACGTCCAGAGGAAGCAGGCCAGGACCGGAGAGGAGCGCGAGGAGGAGGACGAGGAGCAGCTCAGCGAGAGCGAGAGCGAGGACGAGGACAACGAGATCATCTACAACCCCAAGAACCTGCCGCTGGGATGGGACGGCAAGGTGAGGCCTCACATGTCTGACCTGGATCAACGCGAGCAGTGGGGCCGTGCTTTTGCTCAGTGGGGGGGTCGACTTAAATATGACGGCGGTCAAAGGACCAGTGACTGTTAATAAAACATCACATTGATTGGGGCACAGCCAGAAGAAGAAGAAGCCGCGTTATTGTAGAGGTCTCGCCTCCTATATCGATACTTAGAGATGACACAGAGACGTAGTTATGTTTATTTTACTCATCCACCCGCGCTATACTTATTTTGAGGCCGATTTAGTGCACACGGACTAAGGATAAGTGGCTACCCAACTTCCACCTCTGACGTCTGATACAGATGTGGCTGTCGCACAGATCTACTAGCAAGTTTGGAGATTTAAGGAACCCTTTTAAGACTCAAAGAGGAAGAACTGGAAAAAGCACAGACTCATTTTTTTTGTGTGAATGTGTGTTTATTTCCCCCCTGTAGCCCATTCCCTACTGGCTCTACAAACTCCACGGGCTGAACATCAACTACAACTGTGAGATCTGCGGGAACTACACCTACCGGGGGCCCAAGGCCTTCCAGAGGCACTTTGCGGTTCGTTGTCTTCCTGGTCGCCTACTTGTTGCAGAGGTCAGCAGAATAGTTAAACTAAAACGAGGTGCGTTTTGTGCTCCGCAGGAGTGGAGGCACGCTCACGGCATGCGCTGCCTGGGGATCCCCAACACGGCCCACTTCGCCAACGTCACGCAGATCGAGGACGCCGTCTCTCGTAAGAGCCTTTCTCCTCGCTCGATACGGACAGCTGCGTTCTCAAGAGTTTCGATAATATTGATGTTTTTTGTTTTTTTTCCTGTTTGTTTCGATTGTAACTCCAGTGTGGGCGAAGCTGAAGTCCCAGAAGGCATCCGAGCGCTGGCAGCCGGATACCGAGGTGAGTCCACGCGGGCGGAAATCACGACGACGACGGCGAAGCTTCTTACGACTGTTACGTGACCTGTGTTGTTTTGGGTTTTTTTATTTTGCAGGAAGAGTACGAGGACTCGAGTGGCAACGTGGTCAACAAGAAGACCTACGAGGATCTGAAGAGACAAGGATTGCTGTAGATCAAGGAGATTATGAGGCAGAAAAACTGAAAAAAAAATCCACAAGTAACGAGCGTCCTTTAAGATTTGCGATATTTTGTATCACCCGTGTTTTCTTTTTATTTGTAAGTAGTAATGTTGTTTTACAGACTTTGTAATGTCGCCACCTTTTGACCGTTCTAATAAACTGAGTACTTTTGTCACTGCGGTTTGTCTTTTGTTTTGGAATATCTTTTAGTTTTTATGTATTATTGCATATTTTAGCAGTAGGCAATTTTACTACTATGATTGTAAGTGTTTAACTCCAATATTCTAACAAAACATACTGTGAAAAGTGTTTTTCCCCCACGGAGTGAGGTCACATGATGAATGTCCCCAGAGGGAGCTCCAGTCAGGATTCTCGGCTCGGATTCACCCCAAAAAGTGTTTTTTGTTGTAGCAACTGTCGCAGATACAAAACCAACAGCACCTCCTTGTGTAGTGCGTCAGTCATCACTCTGAGCCCCGGAGCTTTTACTGAATTATTTAATTTAAAACCTTGAATACATCTGGCTTTTAAATGTTATATAGATATATATCTGTAGTCTTTTATTACAGTATTTTACTATCAACCTTCACACATTTATAAATATCAACATTTAAATGTCCATAATTATCCTTCCTTGTAGTCACAACTGTATTAATACCATATATAACCACAGAAGCACAAACTATTTGTTAAAATATACTTGGAAATACTCTTATTATACCCTATTTTGATTTCTCTTCCCAACGGTTTGTTCTTGGCCAGCTCCTTCTTAAACTCTCCATCCAGAACTTCAGTGTCCCCCCATCCCTGGTGGATCCGTTTCTCCAGCTGCTTCCCCTTCCTCTGGTACTCAAACCTAAAGCTCCATCAAGCTCTGTGCCTACTGGTCCAGGTCCTTTGTGAACTTGTCTCCCAGTGTTTGATGACCCTGAACGCGTTAGTGTTACAGGTTCTTTGCTTCAATAGAAAAGACACAGGACAGCTGTCACGTCTCAGCTGACACTTGTTGAAACATCTGGCCTCCCCAAGGGAGCCATTAGCCGCGGGGAGGCGGCCCGGTACAATTGTGTGATTTTCACGGTCAAAGGATTTTTTTTTTTACCTTTTCGGTCGCGGGCAGAACCATCGGAGCGCGGCGTTGACTTGTGCTGAGGGATCAGCTCTGCTCCAGCAGGTTCCTCATTCGCGAAGCCGGTCGGTTCACTCCGCTTAATGTGCTCCACTGGCCCCTGGAGCCGCCTGACCGACCCCCTGATGTCGGGTCTGAAAGCTGCCGCAGAGGTTTGTGGGTGTAGTGACATCCGTTCTGACTGTCTGTTGGAGGCCGGTTGGCTCCAGGCCTGCAGGTCAGTATTTCTATTTGAACTTTTGAACCCGCCCTTCTTTTTAAGCTCAGTTGTTTGGGCATTAATGCATCGAATGCCCTGAAAAACTGCACATGTTTCATGTCATTGTATTTGCTGCTAATGCAGGACCCGGAGCATAATCCGCATGAACCAAATAAACTGCTGGGAAAAGTCAGATTTAAAAGTAGTCAATTGTATTGATGCACAGCCCAGCTAAGTGGATAGAGAAGTCAATACTCAAATGGACAAAGAATCCCTTGTAAAAATGCATTTTGGGGGTCTATGTCGCCGATGATAAAATCGCCAAATCCACATTTTAGTCGGACATGCTTACTTACAACGAGCTCAACAGCTGTGGAGATATTGCTATATTATTGTGCTTTTGCATTCATTTTATTCAATTCACTGTTGTTGGTTTTTCATCTGTTAGCAACAAAGCCGTCTGAACAGAATTTGACATACAGGGTAATTTGTTAATATGTACAGATTATTAGTAATGCTCTAATTGATGTAATTTAACAGTTGCTCGTGGCACACATTATAACCAGATGATTTGTAAAACATCTCCTAAAAGATCATATTTAAAACATAAACATCATGTGTGCAACAATAAACTATTATTTATCTAATTGTTATCATCCTTGTTGTGCTGATACAATATATCATTTATGAGCAATTCACATTACACAAAGTGATAATAATAATAATTAATATATAAATTATAAACATTTGCTGACAGTAAAATAATGATTTACTAAAGTTTAGGTGACCTATTTGACGTAATGACTTTGGTTGTGTCTTTCTCCTCATCACCACTATTAACACACGATAAACAGCGCTCCCTTTAGCAGGTTTTCGTGTCGTATCGAGGAACGGACACCTAACGGAGTCTCGCTCCCACGATTCCTTGCAGCGACATCGCACGGCCCATCCGGCCCTGCAGCCTGTGCCAGACCTCCTCCCTTCTGGGGTTCCATAAAACTCAACAAAATGCTTGCAAGTCAGCGTGACACGCGTATTGAAAAGGACGTTGCCATGATGGATCCATCATTCATACCAGCTGGAGCGGCTCGCCGCAGCCTCTACTTCTACCGCGTCTTCTCATTATGTCACCACCTCCAAAACAAATCAAATCGTAAACTCAAATCGCAGCCTTCCTCGTGCAGTGACACCAGCAACTCACAGTATAACAGACACGTAGTTTAATTTGTCTTCAAAGAGATACGGGAAAAGAACATTCTTTCATTTTAGGAAAATAAGAAATAAGAAGCGACAGAGCAGAGCTGCTGTGCACGGGCGCCGAACGCAGTCGTACTCGGGAAACAACGCGGCCGCGCGGCCGCCATTGTGACGTTACGTCACCAACCTGCACGGAGACCTGTCAGTGGTTAAAAACAGCGAGGGTGGAGGGAACATTTCGAGGATTTCTCTCATCACGGGCGCTCGTAAAGGGGCGGAGCGTGGACCGGGTCCGGATCGACGTCTCGCGCTCACATCAGCCACTTGTCCTTCTCCTTGTTGAAGTTCTCCGCCCACTGGCGCGTGAGCTGCAGGTAGTGGTCCGCCAGGTTGGGCTGGTAGTCCAGGTACAAGCGGGTCACCGTTTTCTTGGGCACGGCCTTCTCTATCTGCGTGCCCTCGTGCCATTGGTTGAAGGAGGTGACGGCGACGATTTCCGGCCGCACGGACAGAGCGGCCTGCAGCGACGTGTCGTAGTAGCGCCCGTTGACCCGGTTCCTGGTGTTGTGGTTGTTCCAGGGCCGCACCGCCGTGTCCACGTACCCGGGGCCGACGCTGGGGACGAACAGCAGGTTGTTGACGTCGCAGAACTCCTTGATGGCCTTCCAGTTCTGGTGGGACGAGCCGAAGGAGAAGCCGTTGGAGGCGAAGTACGTGTAGACGCCGTCGAAGCCGCTGGCCAGGATGTCGTGTTTGTGGCGCTCTTCCACCAGGAGGGCGACGAAGACGCCGTCGTAAGGGGTGCCCCTGATGCTGCGGGAGCCTTTGAGGGTCAGGACCTCCGCCCAGGACTCCGGCGCCATCAGGTAGGAGTCGTAGACGTAGAACAGGGGCAGGACTCGCCCCGTGCCGGATTTGAATCGGTAGAAGGCGCCGTGCTCTCCGTACCTGGGAAACAAGAGGGGGGTTTCAACCTGTTGCAAGTTGGTTCTATGAGCAGATGTTCTTTTTTGCATTGCTCTTTGACATTTGTTAATGTACGCAGAATTAAAAAATGTTCGGATCTTGCACATAATTCCTGATGAATGAAGATGGATGGTTCACTTGATTTGTTGCGTGCTGCTCAGGGCTCAATCTTTTTCACAAGGTGTCAGAAAGGCTGGTGTGCAGAGAACAACGAAAACCTTCAGTTGAAGTTGTGTCTCAGGCGTTTTGACCCATGTATTCAAATTATAAATCCATTTACAAATATACAGAACAAATGGAGAGAATGAGACTGAACCACGCCAGTAGAACCTTCATACCGCTGCTATCCGCAACAGCCGCTTTTGCCTGATTTGAACTACGTTTTCGATTGCAATGATGCAAAAAAAAAAGGCACCGTTGATAAAGTTCAAATTCTACATTTCAGCCTGAAATTCAGAAAATATTTATTCAAAACTTAAACCATAACTTCCGTTTCTGTCCCTCCTCCTGTTGTGTCCTTCATGCAGATGGTCAGCACAGTAGGTTTCAGTAAATGTTGGCAGACAAATAAAGTCCTCAAATGGGATTAAAGGCCCTGGAGACTGGGCTCAGATTTCACTCCAGTATCGTTATGAACATGGCATCGCTTGGACCCTTTATGCTTGTTTCCAATTCGGTCTGACTGCTACTTAATAAATTACTGGATGAAACACTATCCGATCAGCTCCGCCTCGTTATTACTCCGTCTCGAGGCTAACGCGGTCTACGCGTCGCTTGAGTTCCGGGTAGAGCTGATATCATATCATCAGATGTGATGAGTCAGATCCCCTTTCGACACACATTCCTGATGAAAGTCAGAAGCTATCTGCAGGATCACAGGACCGTCATCCTGCCTCCTCAGGCTTCAAGTCTTCCAAACGCCGGATACGGAAATCCGAGTCGCGCCGTTCAGCCAGTGGAAGGACAGCCGGCAGGGACACGGGTGAAGAGATGAACGACTCACCTGTCAATGATGTATTTGATGTTGTCATGCATGCTCTGGTCCGTCCGCCCTTTGTATGGCTGCATGTGAAAGGCCACCTGTGCAGACAACGTTTGAACACGGATGTTAACAGGGAGATCATTACAGGTCACGCTTTTATCCAAAGCGACTTACATTGCATTTTTTTAACCCGTGGCCTTTTACATTTTTGCCCGGGGAGCAATTCGGGGTAAGGTGTCTTGCTCAGGGACACTTCGACATGGGACATGGAGCAGCCGGGGCTCGAACCGCCAACCTCACGGTTCCCAGCGCCCCCGCTCTACTCCATGCGCCACAAACACAACACAAGCACCTGGAAAACGAAGAATAGGCCTATCGGCACCATCGGTCATCAAATAGATATTACACTGTATATCCGAAGTGTGTAATGGGTGCTGGTGTAAACCAAACGTGTCACATGACGTTTGGTTTGGAGGCATCGCTTTATCGCAAATGTTCACGTTACATCAGTCTTTTATAAAAGCGTAAACATTCTTTCATTCTACACGGGTATGATTGACACCATTATGACAGCGAGCAATCCCGGGGAGGCTCCGTGATTGACAACTGTTTGACTACAAAGTAAATCATTAATTGTTGAAATGTTGTCGCTCATGTCAGCAGGGAGTGAATGAAGAACTGGGAACACGATAGATAGCAGTGTTCTGGTGCTTTGTTATTCTTTTGTGCTGATAATCGTTGGCCAGAAGCTAAAAATACAGCATGGATGAGTTTGTGCCTCTCAGTGATTGACAGAGGAAATGTCTGACATCCTTCAAGTTAATTTTAAACTTGTGTGGTTCATCAAATCCACAGCAAAATCCCATCATTCACAATGCGTTTTTTTTATCTGTAGGGACGTACTTTTGGGGAGACGGGGGTCGAACCGGTTGGGGGGAAATACTCTTTGGAAAGGCACCTTGCTGTAAGAAGTCATCAGTCAGAGGCGAGACGGAGAGGAAGCTAAGTTTAGATGGCGGGATGATGGGCATCTCTTGAGGAGGAGGAGGGAAACAGATGCTCATCCCCTCAGGCGAGTCCCCGTACTGTCATCTCATCCGTCCTCACATCACAGGAGAAACAGGACGACTCCTTCTCAGACGGTCCCAGAAATCCACCTACTCCCAATGTGAAGATTCAAGGGTCTTCTGCGGCGCACGACGCCCACTCCAGTGTTCCAGAAGAGGCTGCGAGGTCTTTCCGAAACAGTTCCCATGGCAACGCGGCGGCGTTTTCGGGGGGCAACAGGCCCGGGCTTTGTCAGCCGTCTTCGACCGGTTGGAAATTGCGAAAAAGGCCGGCGAGGCGAGACGCCGCTCGAGTCCGTGCGATGTTCACACCCCGGGTGTGTAGACGCCTGTGTGGCTTCTCTTCAGGCGGGTTCGCTTCTCCACACACATTTAGCTTCTCTGGACCGTCGAATGACTGTATAATTCACATGATTGGTGATTGCTGTGTAAGATTGTTTGAGGTAAGTGGATATTTGTTAGACTTTTTCCTTTTATCTTTGTTATTGGTTGAATTGCTCACACATGGTGTGAAGAAAAGCCTACTTAGTATTTAGTTACTCTCTAAAGCTTCATTAATCATTTCTATTTTCCAGCAACATGTGTTTTTTTACACATCCAGTCGACAATGAGCAGTCGCGTCGTGTTTCTGACGAGTCCCTCTCACACTGGTTCTGTTTCTGATGTCCTATTTTGAGAGAAATATCCGTCTCTTTAGCTGCTAATTGCTCCACTGTGTTTGCCAGCTACCTGCTGACTTCATCTTCCTGCCATATGCTGCTGGCCAGGTGGCCATGGTGAGTTTATCAGCTTTTATTTGTTGAAAACAGCTGCATGTCACAAAAAAACACCCCACAATGAGCCTCTGTTTCTATCAAACACGTTGATTATTATTATTTTCTTTCTTTGTGAGAGGTTTGTTGTAGCTTTCGCCATTAAAACACGGTACTGGTTTCACTTTGTCTGGGCCTGTTTGCAGCGAGCAGCCTGACCTCTCACTGCGCTAACAGGGTCAATCTATGCTTAATCAGTGAGGCCGCAGCGCTGGGAGGGATTATAGATCAGCCGGTGTCCTCCTCTCGGGCCGCTCGCGTCGCTCTCCGCTGACCTCCGCGACCTCCGCGCTCAGGTTCGGATGCAAGTCTCAAGTCTCAAGTCTCATTTTCGCATCTGGATATCAGCAGGAGGAGCTCCTCCGTAAACAAATGGCACATAAATGAGACGGGTAGAGTGAACACACAACCACACACACACAAAACACTGTGTCTTCAGCCTTCAGCAGCAGCTCTGGTGCACTGAAACACTGGAGCATGAGCCCTCAGGTCAGCTGGGAGACACACACGGTTGTGTAAGTGCGACACACACACACACACACACACACAGTGAGACCCAGTTCTCCGTCTAAGACTTCCATATAAGGAGCAGACTGGAGGGGAAGCTATTCTGTCCCCGTGATGCTAAATCTACACTCTTCAGCAGCATCTTTAGGCTTCACGGTATCAGACCCACTAAGTGCCATAGAGGAAAAGGCGCTTTTGAAATGGACAATCTACCCTGAAGGCCTTCGCGTTTAAAAAACAACTATTTACCGGATGTTAATGTAAATGTCAGGTTTTGAGATCAGAGCATCACAGCTAGAGATGCCACTGGACCCCTACTGGGTAAGGCCGCCATTTGTTCCCTGTCAGGAGCCTTAGTGGACCAGAATGCAATGCAGCTGCAAGACATGCTGCATTTTCAATAAAGGGCATGACACAGTTTTTGCATGAGTGGACAAAAATGCATTTTCAAGGACCAGTCCCACAAGCCTTTTAGAAGCTAAATTCAGTTTTTTAAAGTTCAACTTTGATGATTATAATCCAAAATGTGCATATATGACCAGCAGCAAAGATCTTAACTGTGACTTTGGAAGCAACACAGAGCTTGAGTCTCCAAAACAGGCCTATTATTTGTGATGCATCATGCACGTGACCTTACAAACGGGTGCAAAAAACAGTTTGCAAAAAATAGCGATGAAAGTAAATGGATAACGCCATGAAAAGTAAAGTGTTTCTAAATCTGGTACACGCTTGATTAAACCCCCCCAAAAACGTTATCGTTTAACTGTCAGCAGCAAGTCATTCATTCAGTAAATCGTCAGAAAGGAAAAACATACCGTCTGTCTCACCAGTTACCTTGATGCTGTGCCTGTGGGCGGCGTCCATGACAGCGGGAACTAGGTCCTCGGTGGGCTCCCCGTGGTCCTCCGCCATGCCGGGAGGATACCAGGACAACACCAGCACCCCTACAACACCACAGCACGGGGAGGAAGTGTCTGCTCTGAGTACGTGCAGGGAGGTCAGAGTACGACCTTTGATGGGGGGGGGGGGTCGAGGCACAAGCTGGAAGTGTCGGCTTCTAGCGTGTGCCTCGTGTGTCCTCCGACTGTTTGAGGAGTAAATAATGACTCTCGGCCAGTGTCCCTCTTTAATGTAAACAAAATGTTTATAGAAAATCCTTTTATTTTATCAATGCAACCGTCGAAGTGGAAGGTTTTCTGGCGCCCCATTTTGTTTGAGAACTTCTCAAACGTCTATGAAATATACAAGTCAACAATAAACGCTATATGGCCACTTCTTTTAGCATGAGTTGGGGGGGGGGGGGGGGGGCGGTGGAGGTTTACAACAGGGAAACATGCAAGAATTACCTGCTGCAGCCGCCTCTATCTGGGCCATGTGTGACTCCAGCACCTTTGGGTCCCTGGAGCTGTAGGGTCCCAGCTCGGGGTAAAAACTTGAGGCGATATCGTCTGGAGGCGTGTGCCTTCCTTGGGCATGACTGGCGGCGATCTTGGGGTCCCAATGGGGCACCAGCACGTGATCCCAGTGGATGTACTTGTTGTCCATGCTGGGGGAGCCGTACCACAGGTAGTAGAAGATGTGCACGTCGTAGAAAATGCTGTAGTCTCGGTCCGACTTGGTGAACACCACCTTGGTGTCACTGCCGCCCGTGTGGAAGTGGCCCGGCGACGCCACCGCCGCCGCCGCCGCCGCCGCCGCGCCTTTCGCGTCCAGCCGCCTCCTTTCGGATCGCTCCCCGACGAAGTCCATCCCGGGGGCCAGGTCCGAGAAGCCGTCGCTCGGCTTCAGCGTCCTGAGCCCCATCATGGCCCCGAAGATGAAGAGCGTGAAGAGGAAGAGAGCCACGAGCGCCTTCCTGCGCAGCCGAGTCATGGTCGCTGTCCGTGGTGCTGCGGGCGAGCGGCCGGTGACGCGCGCTCTCCTCTCAACGCCGCCTGCGGCTCTTCGTGTTTACAGCGCGTAGTGATAATAATGCTGGAATAATAATACTAATAATGATAATGAAAAGAGGCTTCAGTCACTGCAGAGGGTGGCGCATATCGAGTCTGTAAACGCAGAGAGCGATGTCATTTCACTCCATCGTCACGATCCGGAGGGATCCCGCGCGACGACGCTTCGACGGGTCTCCTTCTCACCGCCCTGCGAGCTCTTTGTTCGGCCCCATCCTCTCCTCTTCGAGAGGGACGTGGGAAATCGGCTGTGCTGCTTTTATTTTTTCATCTTGTTTTTGTGTCAGTCCACACAGCTCCCTCTTTACAAAACAAAAGCCACTCTGATGGAGGTTTCTGCGGCTTCCTTCGCGCTCCTCTTCGTGTCATCCCATCGTTTTATTTTGTTCTGGGGTTTTTTCTGACGCACTTTCGTCACTGAATGTTCCTGTCAGAAACACTTGTTTTTCTTGTGCGAGCATAGCGGGCGGTGGATTTACCCCAACCGGAAATATTGTATGAGGGGTGATTAATGCCACAGGAGCGGCAGGGGGCGGAGCAAAAGGGTCTTCTTGTTTTATTTGGGGGGGGGGGGTCATCTCTTACAAGCGTTTCTGAGGGGCCCACGAGAGGGGTCAGCATCCGCTTTCTTAATGAATGAATTCCCTGCAAGGAAGCAAACAGAAAACCCTTTGGTTGCCCCTATAAGTATCACCCAAAATAACACAATTAATTCAGGATACTTTTGCAAAAAGTATGAGTAAATAATAATATATCAAGTGTGTTTTGATTTTTATATTATGACACTTAAGACATGGCACTGCATTGAGGACAAGCCTGTGACGTGATGACGATGAGTGTACTATAGTGCTGTATACAATGTTGACAATGTCTCTGAGAAGTCAAGCTTGAAATGACATCTAGTGGCAAAAATGAAGTGGTGCATTTTATCATATTTGTAATTGGCAATTATCTCACAACAGTTTTTCAAAGGAGACTATGATCCATGTCCATGTCCCCTTCATCTACAATAGATTAAAGAGGAACATTTTGCAGAAAGATAAATCAGTTATCTAATGCATCATCTTTCATTTGATTTTAAAATGTTTGAAACCAAATTGATAACAATTGTTTTTGCAAAACATGTTTGTATTATAAAGTGAAAAAAACAATCAAGAAGAAAAAAAGAAAAAAAAACTCCCCTCCCTGTTTTATTGTGGATACGTTTTCTAATATAAATATATAAATCCTTTAAATAAACCTTATAGGTTGCGTTATGAGGTGATATATGACACAATCAATCACTTCTGTAACAAAAGGGTTGTCAATTGTTTCCTCCCCTCGTACAAATGCAGAAATGTCACATAAAGAGAAGCATTTATTTGTGTTGGTGGAGCTGTTCCTGATAATTAACTGAACGTGTGATGTGGGCTACTTTTTAGTTAATCATTTCGGTCACGGTCCTGTCACCATATATGCTTTTATTAAAAATATGTCGTGTATCAAACACGCCCCTCTGCACCGACGGCGAATTAATCCAACGCTGAAAATAGTCCACAACACACGCGGCATTTATCCTAAAACTATAAATGGAGAAAAAATAAATCTGAGTTTTTCTTGCAATACAAAAGATGCAGAACAACACCGGAGTAGTCCTTTAAGTTTTAAATGACTACGCGGAGGGTTAACACCATCTGGTGGAGGTGTCAGAGGGGACACACTGTCATTGTTGTCCCGAGGCTTCGTTGCGGAAGGGATATCTGTCACAACATGGCAGCAAGCTATGGATTTGTTATCGATTGGGGTTTATGGATCGATTCCCCCCTCCGGAGGAGGGGTGAAAGGTGAGCGGACGGGCTTCCCATGTGGGGCTGCTGCTTATTCAGATCCTCTAGAAACACACGTGGGCCCGAGCAGCCGCTTGAACCCGACAGCTTTACGTTCACGCCGCCTCAACGGTGCTTTGATTCATATTCAAATACTCTCTGCGTCTGTAAGTGAGAGGAAACTTTCCAACGACAGTGGCACACCAGCGTGTGTGTGTGTGTGTGTGTGTGTGTGTGTGTGTTGATCCTCTGTTGAAAAAGTGCGTGCCAAGGCTTTGTTCCCACAAGCCCCTCCGCGTGACCTCGGTCACCTTAGGGTGGCCGGCCCGGTCGTGTGGCGGCTGCCGGGCCTTTCCGTTTCCATGGCAACTTTCAGAGCGCCTCCGGCCTCACGATTGGAGGCATGGACGGTGGGGGTCATTTGTTTTTCATCAGGCAACACCTCACTGACGTATAGATGGATATATAGACATTAAGCTGCACATGTTCACGGGAGAGTCACAAAAAATAAGGCTGGCTTAAGCTCCCTGTGTGTGTGTGTGTGTGTGTGTGTGTGTCCTTCCCTGACTCAGAGGTGACGAGAGCCGGTTTGTGGTGCCGTACAGCAGCTTGAGCGTGGCTAATCATTTTTTAATACGTGTGGGTGAACGACTCCAAGGGGGCCACCGGATGTTTTTTTTAATATAAACTGTAACAGGTGTATGTGAATCACCTCTGCAGGAAAAATGCAAGGAGCTTTATTCCACTAGCAAGATATCCATCCTGAAATAAGGAAGAGGGAGAATTTCAACTTAAATGCAGCCCAAGAAAAAGAAAGAACATTTAGGAGCGATATTTGAGGACAGCTGGCTGACAAAGATGTGTAATACTTAAAACTAAACTCATGTCTTTATTCAAAAAGAAGTAAGAAATCCATGACTCCTTCATTTAAATACAAATTCAAAACATACAATATATACAATATTTCACTAACTCTTAAATGATAGTTATAAATGATCAATTTAGAGTGTTTTGGGGGCATAAGGGGTTCTCAAAAGACCCAGACAAAAATCCCTACACATTAACCTCAAAAAAACGTACATATCCAATTTAGATGACTTGCACGATGGACGACGTGCCTAAATTTACACAAGAAATGTTCAAAGTAATCGTTATCGTTAGGATATGTTAAGGGATTTATAATGGACGTGCATGAATTCATAGGAAACCCTTACGATTTACGAAAAGACCATCGCAAAAACCTCAACACAATTTCTCACAAAGAGGATTCTCATAATTCAATGGTTGATAATGTATTCGGGGGGTTTACTGGATTATCTGCACGCTTTAAGGGTTACTTGTAAAAACACCTTCAAATAGGGTTGCAGGCAGGAATTTTGAAGGGTATCTATCCTAAAATCTGTCATTGTTTTTTTACAAACAACCCAGCTCATTTGTTGTTTGTTGTTTCATTTGTTGTTATATTCCCTGTACATATAGTCCCAAATAATTTGTAAAGTCTGCTTTGAGGTGAAGATTCTGATCGGATTCATGCAAAAAAGAATGGAAACACCGTCTTTAATTTGAACAGTAGCTGCAAAATGCTTGGCAGATGGGTTCTATTATGTGTGCATGCGCGTGTGTGTTTGTGGGAGAGTGCAGTGGGCGGGGTGATGTCTCTCCAGGCCTTTGGGTGCCACACTAAGCTGTATCGTCCAAAGCCCTGATTGGTCATTTTGTCAATTATTTTGCCTCCCTATCTCATTGGACATGTGTGATTTATCTGCGACTAGAAATCACGTGGACTTGACCGAAAAGGTGGCTGTGTGTGCGTGTGGGTGTGTGTGTGTGTGTGTGTGTGTGTGTGGGGGGGGGGGGGGGGGGGGGGGGGTTACTAGAGGTAGGAGGGTCAAAGGGGTTCTGCATATTGCGGAGAAAGGGAGCGGGGAGAAGGCATTTGTTCTCCTGGAGGATTACACGCACAATCAACACGGAGAGAGCGTGCACGGGCTTCCAGCATGCACTTAACTCATTAGGTCTGAGATTTTGTGGGCCGGAGCTGTTTTCTGCAGGAGGCCGGAGGAAACCTCCCACCATGGCAGAAGGTATGGATGCTCTGAAAGAAGCAAAGAGGTTCAATAGAAAGAAGATGAAAGGGGGGAGGCTTTTCTTCCTCTGGCATTGTCTTCTTGTTTCGTCTCTTAAAGGGCCGGGTGGTGGTTGTCTATTCAGAAACGTCTCTGTAGACCCGGTGTGTGTGTGTGGTGTTGGGGGGGGAGGTGTGTGGTTGTTATAATGTGGACGTAGTGGACAGCAGCTCAGCGCGCTGTAAAGCAGCAGAGAGCGGCGGGATGGGCTCTGCTTCCAAGACCAGTTTTGCAGGTAGACTATAAATATTTGTAATATTGTCCAAGAAGAAGGAAGATGTATTTTATTTTGAAGGCCTGCTGATACTTGCACGTGCCCTAAGGACCTATCTAGACACATATTATGAAATGTAATAGTTTCTGTTGTTGTAAACGAGTGAGCATATTTATAATATATGTTAACACATTAAATTAGATCTTTTATAATCGTGGAACGTTTTGGACTAAATGATGATGAATATGGCATTTAGGCTTTGGGGAAACATTATTTTGGACCTACCAGTGATAATGTGGTAGATAACCTGCAGATTCATTTATATGGAAATGAACAACAGCTGCAGCCGCGCGCCTCTGAGCGCACTGCTGCTGCGCGCGGCTCCTCGGGCCAATCACGGCCCTTAATCAGGCTTTGTGGCCCCCGTCTCCGTGTCTCTGTGCAGCGGCGGGCTGTCCGCAGAGCGAGCAGGGGGACGAGGTGGAGGAGGTGGAGGAGGAGGAGGAGGAGGAAGCGGGTCCGACGCGCGGCAGCGGCGTGTGCAAGTGGTTCAACCTGCGGATGGGCTTCGGCTTCCTGTCCATGAGCAGCCGGGACGGAGCTCCTCTGGAGGACCCGCTGGACGTGTTCGTCCACCAGGTGAGACTCATATCGGTCGCGCATCTCAGGGTCCTCGTGCTGCTGGTGGACACATCGCATGCTCAGATTGTCCTGGTAACAAAGGGCTCCTCAAGTGGTGCCCGGACATTCAGGGTAACGAGATGTCCTTCACGTCGCGATGAGATACTTTGAATAACAAGTATCTTTTACATATTAAAAGGATATTTTCACGTTATACCACGATTTTCACGTAATGACAACATATTGTCATGTATTAACAATGTGTTCATGTTATAACAACATATTCTGTTATAATAACATGTGTTGTAATTATTATTATTATTTTCACCTAAAAAAAAAATGTTTTTTACGTAACGTGTTTAAGGTGTAGCAAAAGTTCTTTTGGGCGTTTTAGCAATGTAGCAATATGGCTGATGTTGTGATGAATTTGCATCCTTTACACTTTAAGAAGGATTATAAATGCATGGGGCTGCACAGAAGGAAGGAGTGCCACCCTCTTGTATATAACATCATCTCTCATCAATCAGCAGGAGCACCGAGGTCTCTATGGATACAAGCTCATCACATCCAAGCTTAAAGTGTCCGCATATCAAAATGTCCTCCCCTGTGCGCAATGACATCATAGTGCCTCAAGTCTGAGTCTAACTTAATCAAGCGTCTCTTGAAACGCCCAATGTATCGTAGCTTTGAGTCCCCCTTCAAGCCCAAATCAAAAACATTCTCCGGTTGCAGTTTCAAAAATATGAATGAATTGGTTCTCTATTGGACATCTTTTTGGACCCGAGTCAGGAATAATCAAACCAAATCAGCCTGTAAAAAGAGTGTAAGACACGTGATGTGTTTGTTGTGTAAAATCACCCGGAGATTTACACATCTTAAAGTCGACCGTTCCCAAGTAGGTGCTAAGACCCCCCCCCACTGCCGTCACCTCCGGGACAGATATCTGCTGTGGAACCTCAAAGGTGTTGGGCTCAAACATTTCTATTTAAAAGGGGTTAGAGGCCGAAGTAGAGATAACAAGGCCCATTGTCCCCCCAACCCCCCTCCGTCCAGCCCTGCTTCCTGTTATAAAGTCATTAAAGCATGAGGGGACATGAGCCCACCCAACCCCGACCCTCGGTCCCACCTCCCATGCGGAGCCTTTTGGTCGAGACCTCTTCTCAGGTTTCCTGCTCCTGCGTCGCTGTAAATCATGTGATGAAAGAGCGGGTGTGGGGGCCCGAGGTTTGATCCAATGGGAGACTCTCTTCTGGGCTTTGTTTTAATGAGCACTTAAATAGCCTAAGAAATATATCTTTGGAGCCAAATTGGAACAATTCGCATTGAGGCTGGTCGGTAGTTTAGGATGCATTTTCTAAGTCAGAGTGTCTGGGTTCTCCGCACAGTTCTTACACAGCATGGGAGGATGCGACGTGCAGAAACTTTGACAGAGCTTAAATCTTTGGAAAAACTTTCTGATAAAACTGTTCCTCCCTGCATATTTGCAAAAAAGTCTTACGGTGCTAAAAGATATTAACATTGGTTTTCCTTTTTCCCACACATGTATAAAAGTAGAATAATATTGTTCTCTTTGGCTGTACTCTGCTTTGGTCTTAGTCATTGTGGTCATCATACTGGTCAGCAGGTTTACGTTCTATGGGGGGGGGGGTTGGTCGGCTTGTGGCTGCTGCATGCAGCCAGGCTGAAGCCACCAGACTGCTTTTACTGCCCGGGTGGTGAATGGACGGTACGCTCGAAAATGTTTCCCTCGATTAATTGCGTTTTTTTGTCCATTTGCTTTGGTTTTCTTAAGCTCTAATGCTTTGAGGCTTCTCCGCCGCAACCCTGCTGCTCGCTCTGTTTGATTTACGTCGGCTTTCTGGGAAGTACAGCGCGGGGAGTGCTTTGAGCCAATGGGAAGGCAGAATGGGAAATCATCCCATAACGAACGCAAAACTCTTCGGGACTATTTTGGTATCTTGAGCAGCCGGTCATACTGAGACAACGACAGAGCCTTGCATTGTAATGGAGTTTAACTGTTGAGTATGTTGCATTCAAATTCAAAGAAGAGCATGTGATTGTACTGCTGGCGTTGTGGCACGTCCACTGAGCGGGTAGTCCATCTTTCTCTCTATTCGCCACCACACCTGGAGCGCAGTAAAGCGTCGGCGGCGAGCCACTCTGCGCGCTGGTGATTTACTCCTCTCAGGACACAGACGTTCTCGCCTCCTCTCCGGGCCGCTATCGCAGGAATGCGCTCCTCCCCTGTGTCATTTCCCAGCATCCTCCAGTGCAACGGTCCTCTGGGGACCCGTCCAGATGGACTCATTTTGGAGAGTCTTTTGGTGCTTGTAGGTGGTGTTGGTGGGGGAGGGAGGTGGGGGCGAGGAATGCTTTGGAGCCCGGGGAGGAGGGGTGTTTGAAAGCATTGATGTTTAAACAGGACCGTCAACAGGGTTGGATTTTTATGAGAAAGCTGAGTGTGCGGTCAGTTGAACCTTTGTCCTGTTACGACCAAAAACTGGGCTTTATTTTAAGGTTAAATATCACCGTCGTCCCTCTAAATCTTTCCAACTGCCCAACGAAGAAAACTTTTTCAGTTTTGGCCATTTGGTGAAGACAACCCTGACACGTCTTCACCCTTCAACGTATTGCGGGGAACGTCTTAGTGGACAGTTCTCCTGAGGAAAACATTTGTCCCTCCCGCTGCGCTTTAATTCACCGATGCGTCCACCAAACATATTTTGCACTAAGCAGCTAATCAGGTTTTTACCACGAGAACCAGAACAGCTGAAACTTACTATGAAGCAGAGAGGAGGTGATAAGTGTCTAATATCCGGTGACACCCTTCATCTGGTCATATGATTTACAGACACCTTTTAGTTGTCAAAAAACTGCAAAATATACATTTTGGGTAAATGATGATCAAATAAATGCGATATCCTTGTGGTCCTTGCAATGCCTGCTGTCATATAACAATGTCTACATTTTCACCTCTGCACACCTGACATCAGGAACCTTCTGACTAGACTTCGGAGGATACGGATGCTCACAACCCCCAATAAAAACCACGCTGTCACAGAATCGTGCGTCCACAAAAGTCTCGACAATAGTCGTTCTTGAGGTTCTGGATGTTATGAAATTATTCCAGCATGGGTCCCCGCTCTGATTCTGACCCTCTCGCTCTCTCTCTCTCTCTCTCTCGTCGACAGAGCAAACTGCACATGGAGGGCTTCCGCAGCCTCAGGGAAGGCGAAGCGGTGGAGTTCACCTTTAAGAGATCCTCTAAGGGGCTGGAGTCTCTCCGGGTCACCGGGCCCAACGGAGCTCCGTGCCTGGGCAGCGAGAGGAGGCCAAAGAGCGCCCAGAGGCGGCGCTCCAAGGGGGACAGGTGAGTCTCGTCTGAGGACATCCACGTGCCCACAGGGCACATGAACAACTCAATGTTTTGAGACATATGCTGTCTTTGTGCCGTCTTCCGCTGACATAAATATCTAAATCAATTGTTTAATACGTACACCAATTTGTCACTCCACGCCGTCGGGGGTTACGGTTTTCCTCCCCTCTCTGGTAGGGGGTCAGGCCAACTGCTTCCCCCCCTTGTTTTGGCCTTTTTAGGCTAAGCTAGGCTAACCAGGTCCTGACTCAACGTCATAGATAGTGGCATCGATCCTTTCGTCACAATCGCAGAAACGAAGAGCAAATAGACAAACGTCCTCAAGGGCCTCACTGTGGCTTCTTTAATGAGACGGGATTTTTGAAAATAACAGAGGTGTTTTGCAGTCTTTTGAGCAGCAGCGGGCGGAGTGGATCAATATAATGTTTGACCTCTCTCTGCTCCATCGTTCGGCTCCTGTGGCGTCCACAGCGTAGCTTAAGCACTTCAAAGTTTACTTCTTTATTACGAAACTCTGATTCAAGGTGATTCATGAAGCCGTAATCTACTGGAAGAAAAACTGTCATTTATTTGCAACTGCTCTGTTTGGCCTCTGATGCATGTTTTGGTAATTAAGATTCATTTGATAGCATCTTTTTGATTAGAGCATATTAATTATGGCTGGCGGTGATGAAAGAATCCCACATCCTCCCACTTTTAAATACCTGCCGGATTTGATTGAATGTCCTTCTTCCTTTTTTTCATTTGTTTCAAAACATTAAAGAATACAGATAATGCAGATTGTAACGATTAATTATTTATGTGATAGCATCTCATATAGCTGAACTTCATTAGAAGGCAGTGATAAAAAAGAATCCCAGCTACTTCCTGTCCCTAAATACCCGCTATAGGTTTGATTGCATTCACATGTTTCCTCTTTTCTCCCAAACGTGAATGTAGTATTCAGCAGAGGAAAGAATCCTATCCATGTAACCGATAACAGATGTAGGTGCCTGGGAGAGGTCAGAGGTCCCCATTGCCATAGCAACAATGGGATGTGGTGTGCAAATGAGGTGGAGGGGAGGATGGGAGGAGGGATGTTGAGCGAGCGGGGGTCAGGGTTCAGGGGTCACAGTTGTATTGAAACAAAGGAGCTCCCTCTCCCGCCCTCGTGGCCACGCTGATCAATACTAAGCCCTGATGGGGGGGCTGGGGGGAGGGGGGGAGAGGGGAGGGAGGAGGAGAGGAAGGAAGTGGTGGTTAGCTGTAAGATGATGCAGGGCTCGGTCTGGGTCTCATTACTCTGTATCTCACCCGCTGACTTTAATGCTTTAAACACATGTACACTTTTTTTTGGTCTATTTTAAATGAATTAAAAATCCAAATGATAGATCTTCCTGTAAGACTAATAAAACACCATCAATGGGCTACACTTCTGCTCTGGGTAACACATTATTTCATCGCCATGAGCGCACACACGGTGTATTTCTATTTGATGCCACATACAACGTCCTGCTGCGCCGACCAACTCGCAAGGGCACCGAGCGTGGATTAATCCGCCGCTGAAAATAGTCCTGACCGAATGCGTCACGTTTCTGGAATCTCCTCTAAACCAACACAGACACAAAGATGCTGGATCTCCTGTTCCTTTACTTCTTCTTTCCTTAGCACTAAGATATTCTTTTAAATGACCCATCACCATCTTTGTTTGTTTTCCTCTGACAGTAACGTCAAGCTGGCAGTTTAAACCCCATTCTGATTTCAATGATTTGTCCGGGTGAGTTCGGGGCAGCAGGGCAGGTGTAAAAGGGGATGTGGTTACAGTTATTTCTCCTAATGCACCGTTAAAGACTGTGAGTATTGTTAGTTGGGGCCTTAATGGGATTTGTTGACACACGAGAAGAAGACACAAGACCAGCGGATCAGAGTATTAAGTACATCAGGAGAGGATATTTCAAATTTTGTGTATAGTACTGTGTGTACTGCATTTATTAGATATAATCATTTTCATTAACGCTTTACACTATGTAATGGTGTGTATTTGTGCAGATGACCAAAGCTTGCTGCAGCGTGTAACGTTAAATGTTCTCAGCTTCCATGTATTTCTTTCCGGTATCAAAGCAGTGCGAAGAGACAGGAAACCGGCCTGGGACGTAATTCGTCACAGTCCACCGCCCCTGACTCTGTTTGCTTTTAATTACTGCTTCAACTGCAGACGGAGAGCAAAAGGGGGAAAAGCCACAGCCTCTAGAAAAAGCACACTGTCCACAAAAAGGAAAATCAATGGGTTTGGCTCCTTTATTGAAGTGGCCGGTGTCTCTTTGTGTCACACCACACAGTACGTGGGCCTCGCTCGCCTTATTTATCCCACACTAATGAATTCACCAACAGGATTTCACTTGGCTTCCGATCATTGGCTTTCCCGGCATTGATTTACTGATAACAATACACATCAAGATGCTCCTGGGAGTGCAGTGTTTAATCGTGGCAGCTTGTTGTGTGTGCAGGAGCATACCTGCTTTGACTTTGGATGGATGATTCTATTCGGTGGCATTTTATTGTGAAAATATGATCCTTTCTCGGTTTCGTCCAACGACTTTCTCTTCAAAAAAAAAAAGGACAGATTCCTTGTGAACTGCAGCTAGAAATGAGTGAGTATACCTCCCCGCCACCGGACATGAAAAGCACAGGTTCAGTTCATCACTTTGACGAGGCCTCTGTTACATGAAGAAGAACAGGCGCTGTGGCGGCTTTAGCCTCAAATTGGTTCTACGTTATCAACAAACTAACAGCATTCCTCTGGAATCCAACCTTTGGTCCAGATGTCCTCCTCCGTGCTCTGATTTAGATTCAGACAGAGCTGAGCCTCTTAAGTACAGTGAGAGGAATATCACTCACGAATACTTTACGAGCTCAGGTGACCTTTCCCTTTCAGAACGTGAAAACAAAACCGTGCGCATAAGTCATCCTGCGCGGCGGAGCTCGAACATCACAGTGGAGAAAGAAGAAGCGAGGCCTCAAACGCTCAGACTTTTTTTTTTTTGCATCGTATTGATTGGTATGGAAGAACAAAAAGCCAGTTTGGGGTTTGGTTGTCAAAGAATCTGTTACGCAATCCCTCGAGGCATGAAGATCAATTCGGCCAAATCCCCTGACAGCTGCTCACTGCTGGTGCTGCAGTTAATGCAGAAGCATGGAGACAGATGTGTGAGGGGGGGTTTGAGGCCAGTGTTGGGGTGTGTTGCCCCCTCGTGGTGGGATTTAGTCACTTCATCCGCAAGATGGAATTCGATTATTTTTGTTCAGATTCAAACTACTTGTCAAAATGATTACATCTATGATCCAAATAATACAAATAGTCGATGATTAATTGGTCACAGTGTTTGATCAATTTAATCTTGCAGTGTTCTTGTAGCCGATATTTAACATTAAACATCCAATAAAATAGTTTTATTTACAGGGGGAATGTATAACATGTAATTGATGAAAGTCAGCTCCTGTCTCCTGTCTGTTCGTTTCAGATGCTACAACTGCGGCGGACCCGGCCATCACGCCAAAGAGTGTCAGCTGCCCCCTCAGCCCAAAAAGTGCCATTTTTGTCAAAGTGTTTCGCACATGGTGGCCAGCTGTCCGGTCAGAGCGCAGCAGCAGCAGCAGCAGCAGCAGCAGCAGCAGCATTCGTCTCGGGCTTCTCAGGGAACCTCACCAGGAGACGAGGAAGAGGAGCAGGACCTGGACTTGGTCCCTGAAACCCCAGAGTGAGCGATCAGGGGGGGGAGAAACCGTGAGGTTTTTGCGCGGAAAACACTACTGGAAAGAGCTGCCTCAGGTTTTATTTATTAAGCGGCCAAATCGAGAGTCGCGGCTGTGTTGCCGATGTGCTGCAGACACAACTTTTAATATTCTTTCTGCGTTGCCGTTTTGTTGCCATGGATCAGTGTCTTAGCTTTAGAATGAAACAATCAGACCAACTTACACATTATCTTGCTGGTGAATGGGTTTGGCTGGCAGGTATTTGACATAAGTGCATATCTAACTATTACAGGAAAACCACCCGAGTAATTTATGACATGCAGCTTTCTGTTGAGGTATCGTCCTTGCTTCCTCACTGCCTTACCCTACATAGGGACACTACATAGGGACCCAGATCTTTTCCCTGCTTTGACAATTCAAAGTATCTGCTATATAAAAGGGCCTATATAAGAATGAACCACAAGGTGGGTCTTAATTTGTCAACTTTGTGGCGTAGCAGGTGTAGTGGATGCTTTAGATTGTAGCTTCAGGTTCAACTAATGAGCAAAAATCATCATCATTATAAACTCAGAGCTGACAATCTCCATTCATGTAACCCGAGATACCACAGTGGGGCATTTGTTTGGACTCTGTAGTTCAATTTCATTGTTAAAAAAGCAAGTGAAATGAAATATCAAAGTAAGTAAGATCTTGATAATTATAGTAAAAAACAAAGTGAGTAAAGAAAAAATATTGGCCTTTAAAAAACAACAACAACCAAACCCTTGTGTCCGGATTTGATTAAACCCTGTTTTAAAAGTAAGATGAAGTGGCACTATTAGGTATAAGGGAATACAAGTGTTATCATTTTGTCACAAATAGATGTGGTTAAGATCTGGTGGTAACGCAGAACATTTTATTTTCATATGCAATATAAAAAACATTACATTACCGTTACATACGTAATAATGTAATAATTTGACGTTATTCTCATTCTTGTTCTCTCCTAAAATTAGGATTTAGGAAATTCCACAATACATTTCTCATAAGAAATCCCTAATTTTCCTAATACTATTACTATGTTGTAAATCAATAATCAAACATAGCATTGTGCCAGTTTTTTGCTTTTTACTCTTCAAAAATAATCTGTCATGTGAATGTAATGAGACACATATGCGGGGCTGCCACATATTTAGATAAAGGTTATTTGTGTCAGCCTCTTTTGAGAATTATTTTCAGGTATTATTGTGAAAAGGGAATGTTACATGTATAAGTATGTATATGTATAAGTGCCCTAACCTCCACTTTCCAATGAGGTCCAGAGCTGCTTTCAACCAACACATTCCGTAAAGACATCCACACACATGCTGTGAACAACAATTCAGACTTTTTTTGTGGCAAAAATATGTCTTTCTTGCCATCATTGCCATCATTTAAACGTATATGCAAGACCAGTATTGATTGTATGGCAGACTTTGTTTGCGAAACAGTATTAATCCGAAGGAAAGGTTCACACGTACATATCAGGGATTTTTCACATAAACAATTTGCCTTCACTTGTTTAGGTGAAGGGGCTGAATGTATATGGATATGATCTTTTTTTACATGATCTATTTATCCAGAGTTGTTCTCCCTGAAGGACAGACTGAACATCCGGCAGCTGTGATGGTTGCATTTGAACTGGTGTTTTGCTTCAGAGTGAGAGTGTATACATGCTGTGCAGGAAGTCACATCATTGTTTTTGGCCAATTTGCAGGATTCGATCACTGTGTAACTGTTTGTTTAACAGTCTCATTTTACAAATCTACAGCTTAACTGGATTGTCCCTGCACAGTAAAAACACACAGCATTCTAGTATTTCCTTCAATGCTTTTACTGTCACCTCAGTCTGCAAACACTTTATTTACCGTCTTCATTTTGAGCTCAGGGAGAACGTTTTTTGATCTATCAGGATTCATCTAAATGTTTAAGATGTGATTGTCTCAGCTGCCAAAAGAGCCACTGTCTCTATGTCATTTTGTGTCATGCACCAGGGACCGGGGAGTACTGTGTCGGCCTTCTTTGTCTCAGAGGAACCGTCCCCTCTTCAGCATTGTGCACATTGCATTTCCCGGCAGGGGTCGCTCTTTTGCGTTTGTATTTGACATGGGAAAGTCTGCAACCACAGTCAATGTGATGTCCTTGTGAGATTCTAGCAACAATAGAGTGGGAGACGGCAGAAACTTATTTTGCGCCACATGAAACACCAGCAGGAGAGGAAAGTGGTTCCCTCTAAATGTTGAAGCGTATTTGCAAAGGTTCAAGTGTCGTGTTGTCACGACCTGCCCTACGCCATGACATCCACATGGCCTCACTGAGCTACATAGCTAACAGGTTAGCCGGCTGGCTCGCTAAGCAGGCATTAGCATTGTTTAGTTTCCTGGTTCTGGAGTGTGTTCATACTCAGGGAGTCTTAACGTGTAAAAGGATCGAAGAACTGGTTTATTGATGAGCGTTGAGTAGCCTGTTCTCAGCTGGAGCCAACGTGCGTTTAGCCGAGCCTAGCGACAAGCGTGAAAGCTCATAGGAAAAGATTTTATATTGTGATAAATGAAGATATTATTTTGTCGTGTCTTTATAGATGTTGGTAGGTCATAAAAAAGCCAGGCTAATGGTTCCTGTCGGTCGCTGCTTCGGGGAGGAAACAGCTTTAGTTTCACTTTGAAGTGGAAATGTAAGAAATCATCAATGATATCGTCGATAAAAATCACCATTGATAAAAACCCAACAATGCAGTTTTACGGTAACAAGTTGACTCACCAAAGTAGTAAATTAAAACAGGTAATCACTAAATAAGGTGGAATGGCACTATATTTTAAAATGTTGTTTTCTTAAATTGTAAATATCCAGTGTTTTTTTTTTTTTTCGTCCCGCATTTTAATATAATGTCCGTGATGTTTCTGCATGATAATGAGTAGAATAACAGAATAGCTGTTTCATGTAAAATGGGGACCGGCGACTGAGCGCAGTGATTTCACAGCACACAGGAGCTCCAGAAGCATCATTATTGATCATCATTAACGATCATTATGTGCCTGAGTTCACCACGGCGCTCACGGTGCTGCAGCACGATGGGGTCTAATCTGCCACGTGCAACGCTCTGGTCCCAGTTCCAGTGTTGTGTTGTTTTCTTGTTGTTTGTATTGCTTCTTATGTGCGACCAAGACGGAACACGTCTTGTCAGAAATCTATACAAGTCTACCTCAGGTGTGATTTTGGACAGCTTGAGAAAAGCACGTCCAAAAAACTTTTTTGTATGTATTGTAAATCTTTTGTGTAGTGGTCCATACAAGTATTTATTACTTTGTCTTTTTTTTTAATCTTCTTTCTAGCGTGTTGTGTGCTACCTCAAAGAACATATTCAACATTTGTTTCTGGTATCTTTGTGCCTGTTGTTGTGGTGCTTTTTAAAGACCTCTTAGCCTCCTTTCAGGAAATAGAGAGACACGAGAGATCTGCTAAATGTACAAATAAGATCTTCACTCGCAATCTTCGAACAAAAAGCCATATCTTTACTTACCAGAGCAGACACAGCCACAAGTTCTGGCTCTCTGGAGTCCATTCGCTTTAACACGCATGGTAGAGAATGTTTGGATTGTTTGTATTTCTTTGGATCGTCCCTCCGCCGCGCTTTGTTTTGTATCGTGCTGCAATACAAAGGTAATAAAAGATCTAACAGAACGTTTGTGTTTTATCTACCCGGTTTAATATCTATAAAGGCTTTATGATAATGACTCAAACATTTGTGAGAAATGCATTCCATGTTCACATTTTAAGTATCTTTTGAAGCAGTAAAGAATGACGAATGAAGTATTCAACAAGACAATTGAACATCATCCTCAATCAATCTAAAACAGTTTAATTGGGATTCTTGCATTGACATAATGATATTTTTATGATGTTGTGCCTGGTATTTGTCAATAGAAAAAATATGAATTACAATAAAAAAACGGATGCACAAAACAAAGAATCATTCCAAACGTTTAAAGAGTCTATAAGAATCTATACGTTCTATAATTGCTCTAAATGAACATCAAGGAAGGAATACAGATATTTTAGTTATCTAAAGATAAAAGTTAAACTCATCAGCCTCAAGTTACTCAGCAACAGTATACATGTAAAGAAAGTGCATCTTTATGGACTTTTATCACACGTCTTTGTCAGTGTGTCAAATAATATTTCAGCACTGGTGATTAGATGCATAGAATTGTGCAGGTGTTCATGTTCTTCTGTCCTCCCGTTGTTAGTAACAGTTGGGTTTGAAGGGGAGGGCAAAGGGCCTCCACATTATACTAATTGGTTGCCTATTATGCGGGGAACTTTATAAAACTAACCAGATTTCACCTATAGGGCCGAAAACTGCTGTTACTTTCCTTCAGAATAAAGTATGTAATTGTCCCTGTGGAAAAAAAGAACTGATCTATTAAATTGAGACATTATAAATGTGTAGCTGTAATATCATGTGTATCAGGCTTTCATTAGAAATCGTGCCTCTTGTGAATTTGGTGTATAATGCATTTTATTACGTTCAGGCTAAAGACACTTTTAGTGTAATTTTATTACCCGAAGCTATGTTTCAAAACTCAACACCTATTTATGAAAACACACACAATAGTACAAATCTGTGAAGGGGAATTAACCAGGAGGTATGAATGTTATTAATAAGTTCCTGGTATCCACTAAATTTGAATCTAATCTATCTTTTGTGGCCCGTACATTTCCCGGTACATGTACGCGAATGTTTCAAATTCTGCACCGCATCATATCCCATGTTTCACTGCTCCCTCGCAATCAGGCGTCTTATTTTGAAACGCGCTGCCGGAAGTCGCTTCGCTGTGGGGGCCACCTGACCGCGCGAGCTGAGAACGTGTGCGGCGCTAATGGCTGCCAGGGAGAGAGAGGAAGACAACAAATGAACCCCAGAGGAAAAGATTCAAAGGTGGGTCTGATAGGATGACAACTTGCGGCACATCCACCGCGGCACCTCCCGCGCTGGGACCATTGTCTCTCCCGCTGTTGCTACTCGTCCGCTCGGCTCGCAGGTGTGTTTGGAGGAAGATTTGATGGCACACACACACACACACGCACGCACACACACAAAAACGTGCACGTAGGCGAACACACGCATGACCCGAGCGTTGGTTCACGTTAGCAGCCGCGGGTTTGACTCCCCGTTTAAAGGGCTGCGCTCCGGCGCCCGCGCGCGTGCGTCTCCCGGCCGAGCGCGTGAGAGCCGGACTCTTTGTTAGCGGCCGTTGACGTCCTTAAGCTAGCTAATGACGCTAGCGTCATTAGCTAGCGTTAGCCGCGGGTGGTCCGGCCACACGGCGGTTGGCCCGTCAGCCAATCGGCCGTGTGCTCGTGTAAATTAGCCCCGCTAGCGAGTTGGTTTACGCTCCGTTCAGAGAGACTCAGGTTTTCACTCCCGACTTTTTGAGAGCCAGCTGATCCACAAGCGCGTGTCTACGGTCACATTTAATGAGCGTCAAAGTTATGACGTTGGTCCACTGAACAGTCACGTCCAGGTGAGCTTGAACTCTCAATGCGAAGGTAACGATTGTGAGTTTTGTTGCGTTGTTTACTTTATTTTGGGTCAGTTTGGTGAACAGATTGAAAGTTGTAGTTTAATAGTTTTTAATAAGGTCAATTAAAGAGGTTGTCTGAATGGGTTAAATTTAGATTGGCATATGCCATTTGAATAATTATTTAATTATGTATTATGCAACTATTATAGTATTATTAATACTAATAACAAAGTTATGCTTCATTGTCCAAGGAGTCCATTAATCAGATAATTGTGAAATACATTAACAATTAAGGCCATAATAAAACATTTTTACATTCTGTATTTCCTGCTTACTGGACGCGACGATGTGCTGCTGTTCATTTGTATTATATGATGTAACTTTAATATCTTTGGATTTTGTTGTCACCCTGCACTAATTCATTATTTGATTATTAATTTAAATAGCATCCCTAATGCAAAGATGCTTGGCCTTAATGTCACATCTACTCTTTACTAAGCAGTATTTTCATCCAGTCACATGGGCTGAATTCATTAGGATACCTGGTTGCAAAAGCGAGAGTATTTGCCCCGACAGGTGTATCGGGATTATGTTACCAAACAATAAGGATGAGCGACTCATGGCATGATTTACTGACCCGTGAGCTTTTTTCCACACATCCCATTTTAAACGTAAACTAATTTGCAGCACAAGGCCTGAGTGGCACGGTGAACTATGGGGGAGAATCACATGCTGTAAAACGCAATAACCTTGTGACAGATACCAGTTTGTGAAACCAGCTGTCACTTTTTAACTCAGTGGCACATTGTTGTGGCTCTGAAATGAGGTGCGGTTGGACACGCAGTCCTGTGAATGTGCTGATAACGTTTGTGCAGGAGTGGGTCGTAGGTTGCCTCATTAAGTTGTCTTTTTAATAAAGCGATTCCCACAGCCGCTGTTCTTATATGATGTGCTCTGCCGTCGTATTGGATCACAATAACAGACGCAACAAGGGATGGTGTGGACGAAGTATTATTGTTTATGCTTGAGGAAGCAAGAGCACATGTCAATTATGTATCAAACTACCAGCCGCCTTCTTTCCCCGGCATGCCAATCAAGTTGGGATTGAGGCAGTCACATCCGTATAAACCCTCCAGGGGAGAATTTAGATCTACTGATGTACTGGAAACAAGGGCGAGAAGAGTGTATCCCAATTTTAAGAGAAATGCTCTTTGTGTTTAGGGAAAGATGTCAGGTTTACTGGTCCACAGGAGGGAGCAACATTAAAATAAATTAGGCTTTTAAGGATGTCTTGGGGGGTCTCGCCCTGAGAGAAAAAGCCTAATAATATACTAATAAATATAAATAAATAAATATTCATATCTTTTTTTTTTTATATATTTGAAAAAATAAAAATGAAAGCGCACACAACCAAAGCAATCCTTTGGATGCTTGCGTGATTGTTGCTGTAGCCTCATAAGTGAACACGCCTGCTCTTTGTCCACAGCGAGGACTAGGATGGTAAGCAGCCAGCCGAAGTACGAGCTGATCCAGGTGGTGGGTCGGGGCAGTTACGGCGTGGTCTATGAGGCGGTGGTGAAGCGCACGGGGGCCCGGGTGGCTGTGAAGAAGATCCGCTGCCACTCTCCGGAGAATGTGGAGCTGGCACTGCGGGAGTTCTGGGCCCTCAGCAGCATCCAAAGCCAGCACCCGAACGTCATCCACCTGGAGGAGTGTATCCTGCAGCGGGACCAGCTGGCCCAGAGGATGAACCACGGCTCCAGCGCCCCGCTCTACCTGGAGGTGAGGAGACACCATTCACTTCACTTTACCCGTTTGGCACGGCGGTGATGCTGCAGTGGTGTTGCATGATAAAGATGGTACACACAAACATAATATTGGCGACACCATGTAGCATTTAGGTCGTGAATTGATGTTGATTTCCTCTTTTATGTGGCCAAACACTGAATGTTTGTAGCTAAGACAAATAATCTGGACTTTTACTTGGAGTTGCTGGGCTAGAAGCGTCACTGAGGGATTCTTAGCTGAGGTTACACTCTTTTTATATATATTTTTTTTGTCTGCAAAGAGGTGTTGCAAAGGTTAATGACGGATGGGTGGCGGCCTCATAAAACACAATCCGACCCCTTCATCACAAGCAGCAATAGCATCTGATTAACTTTTCTTCAGAGTTCATCAAGGCCATAAATTGTATAAATAATGCAAAAGTTGACAGGACAGTTTCTGGCCAATCGTTGGTAGTGCTGGCCATCAGAGTTTTATTCTTCTTTTTCTTTTCTACTGTGTCCTCCAGGTTTGCATTAGTTTTCGATAGACACAAAGTAGCGCTCGCCTGTGCTTTATAATAAGGAGGAAGACTGTCAAGTGCGGGACAATTAGCGGCAGTAGAAATGCAGCTCTGGGTACCAGATAAGTGTCAGACAACATCTCGCCTACAGCTGTCCGTGTTGCTAACATATGCTCTTGGAAAATACCGAATAGTAACTGTGGCTCTGGGAGAAAACGACGGCGTGTTATTATATTGTAGTCTATCATGATTAGTGGAAATGATTTGGTCATTAGCTCGGGCTGGCGGCCCCAACAACCATAAACCTCAATTTTTAATTGGCTGCGTCAGATCAGTCAATGTTATCTTATTATCTGCCTCGCACAGTTGCCCTTTACCTCGGACTGTTGCTGCTTACACGCCTACCAGCAGCAGATCGTGTTAATAACTGCGTGCTGAATCTTTGTTGGCAAGTACCAAGGACAAACATTCCGCTCCAGGAGTCGCAGACATGCTGGCGGATCTCAGCCAGGAGGGGAATCCAGCTCAACCCGCTGTAATCAAAATGATATGTAATGCGTTGGAAGCCTGTTTTCATTCACTAAGTGTACCACGTTAGCGGCCGACACGCTTAGCCTATTTGTCCCCCCCCACTGTTGACATATTGCCGTTGAGTAACTCTTCTGAGACGACGTAGAAAAATATCAGGCGCTCCAAACACTGGCACTTGGAATAATCAATAACCGCGTGCGTGCGAAGCATAAGCAGAGGAACTGGAAGCCGGTAGTTGGGTTTGTGATGTCTCCGGCCTCTCGTGTCCCCGCAGTCACATAAAGGAGTCGCCTCCCTGCCTGATTACAGGCTGTCGGCGGCGCGCGGGGCTTTTGTCAGACCGCGCGTTCTGTTTTTCTGCTGCGCTGGCATTGGACACACTCCCAGAATCCCCTTTTCATTCCAGCCCCCTTTATTATTATTTTTTTTTTATTGCTCTGTAATGTTCCAGTGCGTGCGTACAGAAAGAACAAATGGTAATAGGGCGGAATTATCCGACCGCGCCGACTGTGGGCCGATCTGCATCCCTTCTTTCTCCGGCTTCTGCGGCTCGTGGCCCGTCGGGACAATTTTCAGCCATTTGTTTCCAGCAGGGGTTCCACTGGGAACTGTCTACTGCAACCATTCAGAGCGTTTGTGTTGCCTATGAATGACATGGCATCCGAAAAGCTCAGTGTGTGGTTGTAGCCGGCCTCATCTGACACTGGAACCGGTTTTTGCTCTTCAACAAACAGTAACTTTAAGGACACAGACACTTCTCCCTCCTTTCAATCGACTTCTTGTTTGACTTTTTAATGTTATTTCAACTACCTTCATTGCTTACGGCCTTTTCCTACCAGGCGTGTGAGTTGTGTGAGAAAGTAATCATCACCAAACAGTTAAAAAAGGTATTTGGACATGCGAGATGATGTAGATGTACAGATGCAGCTGTGATGTAGTCGAGATTATTTTATTGCAGAGCTGCAGCTTTTCAGTGTCTAATATAAAACGCCGTCAATCATATTCCAGGAACGCATCCCCTTTAATCTTAATTTAATGTGAGACGGATAAACCCTCACTGGTTGGTGGTCTGCCGTCAAAAAGGGAGATTAAATGAACTCCCCTTTCCTGCAGCAGGTATAAAAGATGAGAGGCCTCTCTTGCACTTTCTGGTTGGATGCTAAACTGCGTTTGGTTGTCTCAGTTCCTGTACATCTGTTATGAATACAAAGCTTGTTCAGTTCTGAGTGACATTTTCTCCCCCTTTTACACCGCAGAGATGTTTCCCACTGTATCAATAATCACGTCCGCTAGACGCAACCGCGGTGATATAATCGATCTGTCTGTTGTGATTTGATCTAACGCTTGACACAGATCTCACACTCTTTGTTCAATAGCCATTTGTTTTGGTGTCAAATCTTTTGCCGTGTTCAGGAAAGTTGCAGTAACTCTGCAGGTTAGAGTTTATTCACTTGCATGGTGTGACGTTAGTTTCACTATTGGAGATGTGGAGACGTTTTTGTTAAAAGTTAAGTTAAAATAATTGAGTCTCCTCCGACCGATCGTTCAGCCCGAGACCACCGATGGTGCCAATGACCTGATCAAAATGCAGCAAAAACCTTCAGCAAAGTACAAGGAAATTCAGTCTGACATATTAGCAAAGCTAATGTGCAGCATGAAGGGGCGGAGCGTCCCGTCGCCAGAGGTCACGCGCTGACTTTGTCCCTTTTTTCCCGACGCAGCTGGTGGAGACGTCTCTGAAGGGCGAGATCACATTCGACCCGTGCTGTGCCTACTACTTGTGGTTCGTCATGGACTTCTGCGACGGCGGCGACATGAACGCCTACCTGCTGTCCCGCAAGCCCAGCCGCAAGACCAACACCAGCTTCATGCTGCAGCTGGGCAGCGCCCTGGCCTTCCTGCACCGCAACCAGATCATCCACCGCGACCTCAAACCAGACAACATCCTCATCTCGCAGGCCTGCACGCCGGCCGGCTCCTCCGAGCCCACCCTCAAGGTGGCCGACTTCGGCCTCAGCAAGGTCTGCTCCGCCTCCGGGCTCAACCCGGGGGAGCCCGCCAGCGTCAACAAGTGCTTCCTGTCCACGGCGTGCGGCACGGACTTCTACATGGCCCCGGAGGTCTGGGAGGGCCACTATACGGCCAAGGCGGACATCTTCGCCCTGGGAGTGATCATCTGGGCCATGGTGGAGCGCATCACCTTCGTGGACGTGGAGACTCAGAAGGAGCTGCTGGGCAGCTACGTGCAGCAGGGCTCAGAGATTGTTCCCCTGGGGGAGGCCCTGCTGGAGAACCCAAAGATGGAGCTGCTGATCCCCGCCAGGAAGAAGAGCATGAACTGCCACATGAAGCAGCTGATCAGGGAGATGCTGTCGGCCAACCCCCAGGAGCGGCCCGACGCCGTCGAACTGGAGCTGCGGCTGGTGCGCATCGCCTGCAGAGAGCTGGACTGGGACACGTGATGGCCGACACGCACACGTCTCATTAGCTACGGATACTTTCATCAAACTCTGGAAGAATAATTAGAGTAGTCGTTGTTCGTGTCGTGGCTAAACTTCATTCACTGTCTGAGCACATGCAGCCCTCTGCTAGCTGGGTCTTTTCATACCGAGGGGGGGGAAGTGCTCCGAATTGCAGCTTAGTCTCAGGCTAATCACATCCCAGCTTCCTCTGCCTGCTCACAGAATCACTCACGCGTGCTGCAGGAGAAGAATGACCCCAAAAAGGACTTTTATTCAATGGGGAGAGAAAGTCAAAGTCAAACTGAGACAGTTTGTCTGCAAATACCACCCTGGACTCGGTGCTAATTATTATTAAATGCAATATGAGACATTATCCTGTGACCATTACAGCGTACATTAACACACAATCCCCTCAATGTGTTGGATGTCGCTTTGACAGAACCTGACTTGCAAACTGATTTCAGCCTGGTAACGTGACCACCAGCATCCATAACAGTGTTTCCCTTAGCTTCACTGCTCTGGGGCATTCGGCATTAAATGCAGATCTGCCCTGAATGCTCAGGTAAGAAAATCTGCAACATGGTGGTATTTGTAGACACAGCCAGTAGGGTCGGGCTTCTTGTCTTTGGCTTGAAAACCCTTATTCGCACAGGCTTCTCTGTTGGTTTTATGGGTGGGGAACATTTTATCAGTCAGCGACCAGCCAGCTGGGCCTTGTGGTCATATTCGTCCTCTTTCTGCCCGTCCCACTCTTGGAGATAAAGTTGCCTGGTCCCAGACCAGTGTAGCAGAATGTATAACGACTGGGACTTTAATTATGTAGAGCCTTAAACACAGAACACCATGGGGGTTCTTTGTTGGAGAGCACTGCTTTGTTGCAACTTGGTTATTATTTTTTATAGTTCTAACCATTAGGTACGACTCTTAATTACTCAAATCGTGTTGTAAAGTCTTTCCAGTGCTCCAACAAAAAAAGAAAAATGACCATAAATACTGGTACGGTGGCTCTATCTGCTTTCTTTTGCCGCTGACTCTCGCTCATTCTTGGGCAAAATTAAACTTGGTATAAAAGACTTAAAGTTCACTACTCTAAATTGGTGTTGATTTTTGTAAGATTATAGTTTTAAATCTTTAATCTTACATAATCTAATCACAAATAACACTCATAATATTTAGAAGTAACCATGAAATCATGCCGGCTGACAGGGAAGCCGTCGCTACGGTTACCTAATTAACGTTAACACTGTGAGTTTGACTTTCTATTGTCCGTAAACAGCCGGTCTGAACGCACTTCTTGTCCCATTGTTTGCTTAGCCGATGGACACAATGTCCCAGACTGTGGAAAAAGTAAGTAAGTTGTAATGAACCAGAATGACCCTTTTTTAGTAGTAAAAGCACAGTAAAGCGAGCAGATTGGCCCGAGCTCAGAGGACTTTGTGGATGACTCCAACACGCGGCCAACAAATCCTTATGTTGCTTAAACATAAATTGAATTATCTAAAAAGGTTGAGCTGCAGTGACATTAATATTCACCTCGGAGTCAATTTAGTAAATTTTAATAAGTGAAAAAAAAAATGAAAGCGGGAGCGATTCAGTGACACACTGAAAGCACTTTGGTTGTTTCTATTTATTCCTCATAAACTACCTGCTGCATCTTCTGCAGGAGCTCTGAGAGGCTGGACGCCGTGTGATAACTGCGCCGCTGTTTGTTTACCAGGAGAACACAATGTCAGCCAACGGTCTACTTATGCATGCAGTGTCTCTCACCTTCAGGGACAGAAGACACCAGCGCACACAATCCTCCATGAGCCAGAGGATCTGTCTTTCTTTTTTAAGGAGGGGGGGACATAATACTGTTGTGTTTTAACTTGATCTCCTCTCCCTGCTCCTGGTTCCCTTTGGCTCTGGATCTTACAGTAATCCCGTTCTTCATGCTTGCGACAGGCTAATTCTAAGCCTATTAAGTTGTTGCAGCACTTGGCAGCGGATCATGCTCGGGACCCCTTTTGCCTTTCAGGTCAAATAGAATTTTAGCACTTATACTAATTTTACAGGAACATGTTAAAACAGTCGTGGCTTCTTCGCTGTCAGAATTGTGCAGAAAAATTCTTTTTGCCAATATTTACCTGCTAAATGACCTTCAACCTTCTGTCCAGATGCAATTGAGATTTGCCTTTTTTTAAAAATTCTCCCATTTCTCTTTAATTCTAAAGTGGCCTCGTTGATATTGCAATCGAACACCAAACTGGCAGTTGTTGTGCTTGAGACGGGCCTTTGGTGTGAATATTTATGCCACAAATCACCATCAGAACCTGCCCTTCACCGCAGGGCATCTATGCTGCTTGTGGTATTTGTGCTCTTCTTGTTCGTGGAGGTCAAGCTCGGACCCAAAGCAGGTCCCGTCCGGAGCTCTCAGCAGAGCGCAGGATGCAGAGATTTCTTCCTTCGCTTCCAGTTTGAGACGTTTGCCAAACAGATACTTGGGTCTGGGGTATGAAGACATTTCAGTCTTTGATGAATGAAATTCCTTTTGCACATGTGTAAATACTGTATAGGATAAAGGGTGTTTGTGTACATTTGACTGGGGGTGTGTGCTCTGTTTTCAAGAGCCTGACTTCTGCTGTGACGGGTTCAGTTTTTCTTCAGCTCTTAATTGTGTTTTTGTGCGTTTGTATGTCTTAATTTCTGCTTCTTGTCGTGGCTGAGAAGCTTTAGGGATCAGATTTCCAGCATTCCTCCTGTAACGGATGTTCGGATCATCTCAAATGTTTGAAATGTCTCGATTTCCAGGAGATATCAGAGCGGATTTGTGATGCATATTCAAATAAATACATCGGTGGAAGATGAAGACCACCCAGTACAACCTAAGACCAAGCTTCTTACGCTCTTTTCTATCAACAATCTTTGCTCTTATGTCATTGTAACACCTTTTTGAAGAGATTAAATGACGTTTATCAAGAAGTGGTGTGAAAACCTGTCACTGTTGAATTGATTTTTAATAAAATCGAATCAAATCCTAATGGAATTTCTTGTGGAAATGCTGCATGCAAATGGCTTTTGAAATTGTCCATTTCCTCCGCAGCTCATGTTCCGTGGGCCCTTTGTCACAGGTAATGGCTTTGATTCACTTCACCTGATGACCTGATCATTAAAGACGCCGCGAGCTAAATGAACCGTGTTCTCCCGACTGCTTTTATCCTCTGGAATATGTTTTGTCATGCGGAGCCAAGGTAAGTCAGCGAATGTTAATATCATCCCCTACACTAAAGGAACATCGAGACTGGACATTATCCTCTGCCTCCTCTGGACATTATCCTGGTCTTAAAATGAAGCGCTCCATTTTATTTTATTTTCCAACCCCTCCACAGGGCGGTTTATTTATGAATTTATGAATATGAAAACCACCGCTGTCAGGAAGTCCTCAAGCATCGTGGAGATGTGCGTCTCACCAAAGGGTCTGTCCAGCCGTCTGGGCCGAGTAGGCAACGTTAAAGGGACACTTCACCCAAATGTTTGCAATGGAGGTCAAAAGTGCCGAGTTAGCAATGGTGACATACATGGGAAATATGCAAGGTTAAATCAAACCGACAGTTTTCTTAGTCTCTACTGTAAAGAGATTTAAGAAAATTGGAAATAACAATTTAACACAATACGTTTTATTGATTTGCAGCAATAACAATATTTTTTTATTACGAGACGTGTGACCAGCCAGTTACTCGTGGTGACGGGTTACAGCGTTTCCTTTCGTGGAACTTGCTGTTAATTATAATTTGCACTCGATTCCCGTTACAAGGTGTTGACTGTGCTCAGGCGGCGGTCATTCCTCAAGGCCGCCATCTGCCTCCGTGAACTGCAGACACAGCTGGACAGCCTCTGGACGACCGGCGTCAGAGACACGTCTTGACCTCAAACATGTGGCCTTGGCCGCCGGCGCTGTGGACGCTGGATGTTTGGCACACGTTGGGTGGTGATGGATGATTACCCAACGAGGAGGGAGCGCTGATGCTTCCGTCTGCGACCCGTCTCTCCTTCTGTGCTGAACCTTCTTGACCTCTCTGATGAACGAAGGCCACGTCTTCTGTACCATCGACGAGAATCACTTCAAGCCGACGCAGCATTAGCGGCCTACCGGGAAGCTCGGGAAGCATCAGACTCCGCCGATCGGGACACACTCTCTATGGAGACCTCAATCCTCATTCTTTTGGTTGTATTGGGTCAGTTGTGACATAATGTAGTTTAAACTGTCTAAAGATGTTTAACTCTGTAGTGTAGAATTCTTTGCCTTGAGGCATTGCTTATGCTTCTTCTGTTTGACTACATACTGTATATATTTTAGTTATTTGTGTTCAGATGGTACGTTTCATTTTGATGCTGGATATAAAGAAAGTTCAAAACGGGTCGTGTGTCCTCTTTATTTTAGGTGCTTTCCTTTTAAGAACTACAACCTGTTTCTAATCTTCAGTTTCCCAGGATTCAAGGAAACAGGTTGTTGACGTCGGCATAAAGTATGAATGCGATTAGTAATCTATTTAGTTTTTCCAATAATGGCTTACTTTCTTAATACAAGCTGTTCATTCCACTCGCACCTGGATTGATTAAACGGAGTGAATATGTACAGGTGACGTAAATGAGCTACAAGCAGAATCGGGGAAATAGAGTCCGTCAGTTATGGCACTTTATATGGCGGTTAATGATTAGCACTGATAATCCTTATGTTTCCATGACAGAAGTTACAATAGGTCCAAGCATTGGAAACATAATGTAGTTGATTGGTTTTGTATTCTTGTAGGAAGCACACTGCAGAGCTCGGTCCATTCTCATATTTGATATTTTAAAGTGGATTGTGATTCATTCTGATTACCGGTCATATTGGTAGAAATGCCATTTTCCTTCTTAATCTAAATGCAGGACACAAAGTGACTTTCTGGTCCTCACCAAGCGCTCGCAGCCCGTTGGCCTGTGTGAGGGACTTATTTCACTGGAAGTAATTATCATTTTTCTATGAAACTGGCTGCAACTTATTACATAGCAACAAGACGAGGCGTCCCAGGAAGAACGTGACCCGGTAGCCGACGCTGAAGTCCGTCCTCCCCGTGGAGAAGCCTTTTGTTTGCAGAAAATAATTCATTTTCTAAAACACCAGAACATTTGTTCCTCTGGCGTTATAACGTCAGTGTGCAGCGCTGGTGCTGCTTGGAAACGTTACTCTGCATTGAATCAAGATGTTGCAAGCTAAGCTACGTGAACATGGCATGAAAAGCATGTTTAAATAAAGATGCTGTATGTTAAGGTCAAACAATACAACTTCACTTTGCATTGCTTTGGCATTCACATTTTGTCAGAGTGCCAGAATGAATTTGTTCCCAATTTGTAAAGCCGGGGCAGGGGAAGCTCCTCCAGGGCTTCACCCGGATGCGATGAAGGGAGCTCAATTATCTCCTGTTAACCGAACACCTCGCTGACCTCAGCCGCGAAGAAGCCGACCTCAGCGAGGCAGGACGTGTGCAGAGGGCGTTCTATGCATCAATTCAGCTGTTTTATCAAATCGTAAGGAAATATCAAGCGAAATAAACACTAGGTAGGGCGGACCTCCATGTGTGCCAGATGTAGTCTTTAAATAAAAACCCTTTTGTCTCGACTGTGTATATCAGATGCTTTCTTGCTCTCATGGTCTCTTTTTTAACTGCAACTAAACTTTAAGATGGAACTAAACTTTCCACCAAACAGAAACTGTCCGTCGTGCCGTGCATTTAGTTCCGTTAGCTATGTTAACTTTGTTAGCTTCATTAGCTTCATTAGCATCATTAGCCCTGTTGGCCAAGCTCGGTTCAGTCTGTTTTATATTCAAGAGTAGAATTTTTAAAAGTGAAAATATTTGTAGTTCAGGTTGTGGAGCAGACGGTAGAAAGTGGTAAGCTGCTCCAGGAATGTAACGTTTTTCCGAAGCTTTTGGACACCAACAGATGTGAAGTTGAGACCATTTATGAAATCTCTTTTATTGTGTCCCTCGATTCAGAGTTCCTGCCCTTGTGTGTTTGCTGCTGTCAGTTTTCACCTGTCCTCCATTAGCCCTGCTGTCGCCTGTCCCTCCTTATCGCCCTCCTTGGGTGCTGTATTTAGTCTGTTTGCTCCCCTCTACATTCTGTGTATTCTCTGTATAACACTTTCTGTTAGCGGGCTGGCCATTACATGCCATTAGTTGTATGTGGTTACTTTTGTTATTTCTTGGACTCTTACATTGCCATAACCCCATTTTTTTGCGTGTTCCCCACGATTTGTTGTACTTTAAATTCTCTTCTTTGATTTGTGCCAATATATTCCACCGGTAATATAATCATGTTGGCATATATTTTACTGGCATGTCGTCCACTTGCCTCTTCTCAATCTCTCTCAATTGTCCCATCGTAATAAAGAATGAATGAAAGGGCCTCGGTGTGTCTTTCTTTCTTGTGGCACATGGGGCTTTCCTGGGCCGAATGTGCCTGAGACCACAGGAGCCCCAGCAGGTTAAACTCCGCCATGTTGTTCAGGGCGTCTACGTTCTCAGGGATAAACCCCAGACCCAAAGCAGCGTCTCACCAGGGGAGCTGGAGGCAGGCGTGAGGAGCTGAAAGGCCTGCTGGGATTGCATGACGAGCCAGATAGACGTCTTTGTTTGCTGCTGTTGGTGCTCAGCGGGGCCTTTTCAAAAAAAAAAAAATAATAAAGTCTGGACTGAAAGAAAGCCAAACCTGCTGAATGTGAGCAGACTTCAAACTCCAGACGCATTTGAAAAAGAAAAATTGTATCTTGGGATCCGACAGAGCTGAAGATTGACAGCTGTAGAGGAATTAATAATTCATAGATTGTGCAGATATTCATTTTGGACGGAGGGAAATAGATCCAGAACGCAGAATCCAGAGCCCAACAAATAAGAATAAACAGCTGGGTTTTACAAATCCAAATGTGAATTCAGGCCCGTGGGACAACCTGAACATTATTCTAAGCCTTTCTGGCCCGTATTTTGCTCCAACGCGTGAGGAATAAGTCGCTGGGATTGCTTGCAGCAATGTGAGTGAAGAGCACGGGCGAGCCAGAGGACATCGTGAGAAGCTACCAGCGATGGAGACGGACGTCTGCCCACTTGACGAAGTCTAATGGTGTGACGTTCTCCGTCAGCTCTGTGTTTGCCTTCACTGGCGGCCCCCTGCTGCAGTTTGTGGGCTAAAAGAGGCTAAAACGCTGTGCAGAAATGCAGAGTTTGGGGAGTATTATACTCAGGGTAATTTATGCCGTTGAATGTGGCAGCTTTCATATTTGACCTTTTCTTATATTGCTGACATTAGAGACATATGGAATTTTATCTGTTTTTCATGCATTTTGCAGATGCATTGATATTCAGCCTCCTCCTGACGAGCGCATGCTGTTACTGTGATGATTAAGCGAAGGAGAAAAATATATAGCATAATACTTATTAAACCTGACATTTGAGGCTTTAAATGATTTCTTACTACAGGGTATTTTATGCATTTGCAGCAGCACACACACACTGGCTGCTATAGATCAGCTTTCAATGCATGGAATGGCAACTTTTTGGCAGGATAATATTTCCCCTGACCACCTTCTATTCTTTGTGCGAATAATATTTGGTCAGTAGCTTATTTAGTGATGAAAATAGGAATAAAACGTCACAAGGCAGAAAAGGAGTAGTAGACGTACCTGTAATAGATTGCGACAAGGCTACGAACTGTGGGTGAGGATTGACTTCAAAGGAGCTCAATGAAGAAACCCGTATTTGTGACAGTAAAATCAATGTTCTTTTTTCTCCCCTTCTCTCTATTTTTATACCAGAATGCGGCTTTCTAAGCGAGTGCCATTGTCAGATACTCATGAAACGCTCGGAGTGAGCGGGCTTTAATTGATATGACTGTTATTAGAATTCCTCTGTGCTTGATATTTGTATAATAAACTATAATCCATACCTCTCACTTGGCTGTGTGTGAAATGATGTGGAGGAGGATTAGCGGGTCCCTGGAGAAATCTCCCACTGAGCTTACTTCACTTTCATGTATTCACTTTTGTCTGCATGCTGCTAACGGTCCTGTCTATGGTAAAAAAAAACCCCACACACATAAAAAAGAACCCTTGAGAGTGCTAATTAAGTGATTCCTTTTTGCAAAGTGATTCTGATAGC